AAAATGAGATATATGAAATGGGTGAACATGATGCTCGAAAGCTATGAAAAATGGTAAATCATGGAAGAAGTTGCAACCCGAATGCTACAGCTATAAGCGTCAGCAGAAATAAAAATTAAAAACACAGCCAATGACCACGAAACATGGTTTAAATATAATTTTTGAGTTTTTATTTATATTTGCTCAGAGAATTATACGGCCGACGTATAGCAGAACCATTTTCGGTCGCTAACCGGACAGATGCAATATGAAGCGGGTAAAGTTTTAGTAATTAGAGGTTCTCAGTGCAAAAGGCTTTGCAGCATCATCAAGAAGCCTTACAGGCCCCGATCATATTGAGTCGAACATAAGTCAGGCGTAAAACAAAAACTAACGACTTCCTAAAAACAGAAGTGTTGAGGCCCCTTTCACTGTTCGACATACGGTTACTATTTTTATTCACCAGCTATCGAGAGAAGTGCCGGTCCAGCATTATCTATCGAGTCATTTCTGTTGGTTAACCTTGTTTCCTCAATACAATCAAGCCACAAACAAATCTTAACCGTTTTGTTCTTCTCATGTATATTTCAATGTCTGAAATCCTGCCAGTCCCACCAAACACAAATCACTGTTTTCCTGGGATGAAGATCTGGCTTAACCCTATGTTTGGGCGTATGTTCTGGAGCAATCCATTCATTCCTATACTTGGATATAAAGATACCACTTCTCAGTGACGATTCTGTGTGAAAATATATTATTATAGATGCATGTTACTCATCGTCGAATGAGATATTTAGAGGTAATGAGACGCCGTGTTTCCTTGCAATAGTTACTCAGTTTGTGAGAGTTGTCAATCTTTGGGTAAGTCGTATATTCTTAAAGTGCCTAACGATATTCATATGATCGCCGTCTATTTTTTCGCCCAATTAACAAATTACTTACCCCCCGTCTTCTTTCAAAAAAGTCTTCGATCGACCTTCACCGACCTCAGATGGCCAATCGGGGAGACAACTTTGCAAGTCAGTTTTATGCAGCCTTTTTAGAATCCTCGCTGTATACACATAAATATTTCATGCTACTTCTGCAGCAGCTGTTTAACCTCAGCAACAGGCCAAGCCGAAGTGTCAAAAGTATATTTTTTCACCCAAAACTTCCATTTTTAGAGCTTGAAGCCGACGCGAAACTCTATTCGTTACACAATGAGGTTACGACAAACTTACCAAAGAAAGATAGATCACTTATAATACAGAAATAAAAAACAGTAGTAGTAAAACTAACGTATTCATTTTATATTTATAGGAAATGTATTTCCAAATTCGGCAGGTTGTAAGTTTTCTCTCACCGGCCGCTCAATCGCTAGTCTCTAGCGGTCGAGTTTCGTCACTTCTGTAAACTTAGCTTAAACTTAAAAAAAACTGCTTCGGAGGATTCTGCAAGGGGCTGAGGGTGCCGGAACCTTATTTTATGAAAAAAAGAAGTTTTGCTAAGTGACGGTAAGAAATACCTACGGATCCACAGTGCTCACAAGAACAGGGGGAGTGATGCGTGAAGCCGTATCGACGTGGCCCGGTCTTCGCATAGTATAACCTAGAAGTCGTAACGAGGGCGGAACACTAAGACGTTTTTCAACAGATATTCTAGTAACACTCTCTTCTGGAGGAGGTCGGCCCTCCAGAAAAGGTCTCTAGGTAGATGAAGATAAGAGGGCGACGAGGAAGGGTCCGAGGGGTTCAACAAGGCCAAGGAGACTTATTGACTAGCTGGAGGCAAGCGACTATAGGAGAGCGAAACTTTGCGAGCATCGTAGCGGTGGCTGACCCGATTTAGTATAGCGTCTCGATATAGGCCGCCCGACTTTATACGCCAGAGGACAGTGACCAGCCGGTAATCAAGATGCTGGGTCTGCGTAGCCTGCTTTACTAGTCGTTGCCTCGACGCGTTCTGTTGTCAGTGTAAGAACAGGCCACTTCCAGGTTGATTGCCCACGTGCATGACCGTCAAACACTATGTCGAGCCTGCGCGACTTCTCTGCTGTCCGATTCTTCAGGGCGCCGGCTGTTTCGTAGTTTGGAAATCAATGCTGTACTGAAGAATTATGCGACAAATCCGGGATGAGTGCTGTTTCGGCTGAGTTCCTAAAACACGCCGATTTATGGTTTCTTGGTCAGAATGTTAAACGGATCATTAGATCGCTCCACGGCAAATAGTAAAATTTAAAATCAGAGGGGATCAGGTGGAGGCATTCGCGGACATCGAAAACTTGGTGTACGATGTCGCCCTCGGACGGTCGGTTCTAAGAATTTTTTTAGTTTTTTCCTGGTTAGATGTAAATCAGTTAGTACGTCAGAAGTTTACCAGAAAAAAAAGTCACTTAATACCTCCGGAGTTGCCAAAATGGGTAGTCCCGTTTGCGGCGTTATTGATATCCATGGTTCAGATGTAGGGGGTCTTGTATGCATATCGTATGAGCATCTTCGTTACCCCGTATTATGTAGCGACTTGTGAGCCGAATAAGTTATGAGTAAGGCACCTCCTCGATCACATCATACCTATTGGAAGTATATTTATTGTAATTACCTAATTTGCACATCAATTTTTTTTCAGTACGCTGAAGTAAATAAACAATAAAGAATTAAAATCGAAAAAAAAAAAACAAACTTTTTGGCTGCCATTTACAGAATATTTTCGGAAGCGTACACATGAAACGTTTCACCACATATTTCATTTATTATTTTATGTGTCGTTGTTAAACATTTAAAATGTAATGAAAGGTCGGTCTGACATTTTTATTGCAATGTAGACATCATAATATTACAAATAATTTACTAAATCCATTTAACCTTATCGAAAATTCTCCAAACTTATTTATTCATATCAGCTATTATTTAGAAGATCATCCCATTGAATAAACACTACTTATGCTTACTGTTTGGTGGTAATAAATCTCACAAATATTATATATCCGAAAACATAGCAAAAAACAGAGCGTTTCTTCACGCTAAATTCGGCGCTATTTCTACTGCTGTATTTTAAATGGCCGAGTCATCATGTCAGTTAAATGACATACCACCCTCCATTTTTAAAAATAGATCGCTACTCAGTACAATAGTACGTTCCCATTGTTATTTCAAAAAGGATGATAAAGCTTAGCTGTCTCTATATACAAATTGAGTCCAACTTTTGATATATCTACATTAAATATAGATATATCAAAAGTAATTTAATGTACTCTGTACATTAAATGTACAGAGTACATTAAATGGGAAAAGAATAATCGTTGTTTATAAATATTATAGATTCGATGGGAACAAACGATAGAAAATATAACGGCCTCCTGCTGCACTGTGCCCGCACACATCCGTTCGACACCGTGCTCAAAATTTCAGCATTTTAAAAACAATATGCTGCATACTCTCAAGAAAAATATGTTTTTATACAAAATCTAGCTTACTTAACGGCTTGAACATATAGACTACGAACAGCAGAAAGCTCGTCAATTGAGTAATAGAGCTGCAAACGAGTGCACAATCCATTTGCCTACAAGATCATCTTTAGTCATAAGGCTCATTTTCATGTTGATGACTTTGCAAACAGCCGGAATTATTTCATTTGTTATGACGAAAGTATAAATAAATCCATATCCGTTCCGTGATAATGATACTCCAATTTTTTAAGCCACGAATAGACGTTAAGAGCCACAAGAACAAGTGGTTCTGAACAAATGGTTCCGTTTGCTGTGTTTTGCGTGAAATAATGGCATTATTTCACAAAACGTTTCCTGGTCGACCATAGTTGGCCGCTCAGATGGTGCGATTTAACGCGTTCGAACTTCAGCCCTTGTAATTTTGGTACAAACCATGATCGGACATTCCGCAAGACGAGAAGGACATTTACGAGACGTACTGTTGCATTTGTCATGTCGACTTAATCCACACCTTCTACCTAACGTCGAAGACAAGATCTCGGTATTAAAGTTAAACAAAAACTAGTTTATTGATAATTTGAATTTCTCATCTTTGTTGAGGTCCTTATATATTTTTGTGAGAAGGGCATAAACTACTATATTTATCTTATCCATTAGAAAGGTGCGCATAAGAAAATGCCTGTTCATAATTTATAAAGTAAAAATCCTTTAGCATTTGGTGGTCTTTTTTGGTGGACACTGATTTCCGATGTCTTTTTACAGACACCATATTTGCAAGTACTTTGCACAGGATTGATTGGTTTCGAGTGATTCTTTATTGCATCTCTGCTTTGGAAGCATTTCGTATCACTTTCTGAAAAAGATAACTTGCGCAATGTAATATCGAAATCACGAAATGACATCTTTGGTAAGTTCCAGCCCGTAATCCCGTGAGCTGTCGTTTTGGGTGAAAACTGTGTCTTTTTTTCGATTCCACCTAATTCCTACCATTTTTGATAGGAACAGGAAAAACAAGAAATGTACAATTTCTTCCAATATCCCGTTTATTATATATATATATATATATATATATATATATATATATATATATATATATATATGTATATATATATGCTTCTTTCATAATGATATGTTCGTATTTCACTAGTTGAGTCCGATTCTCGCAAACTAACATAGTTATTGCATACACTGTTTTTTTTTAAGATATTTGCAAACAGCTATGAGCTCAATAGTTCGGGCTTAGAATCGTTTAATGTGCAACTACTGCTATGCTTAATTTTAATACCGAAGTTACAAAATGGCAGATCACGGTATATATAATAATGTACAACAAGTAAACCAGTCAACTTTTCCACGAGTTTTTCATCGAATATGGAATCTTGCGATACAAAAGATCAGTATCACATAAATTAGTGATCTATCTGTCCAAAATCTTACTAGAAAAATGCATTTTTGGTTGGAATACGTTAGGCTTACCGTTTGCAAATAATGAAACAATGTTCAGATCTAAATAGTGGTAACTAAGCTTCGTTGTCAGTCATAACACTCGAGCTAATATTTTTATTCAGAAATATAATAAGAATACTTGTAGACTTACACATAGAAACGGTCAACCTTTAGGGAAGTTATGTCAGGTAAGATATAGGCTTCTGATACGACAGACGATGCATTCGAGATAGCGCTGCGTTCCCAACGAACTTCGGTAGCATTACTGTATGCAGAATTGTCACATAAATTGGATAGCCAGAAATTTACAGTTCACTCACAGCACTCACCGGTGTCTGGTATATGTATACTGTCAACAATAACCCTTCCATTTCACAATAAATGTTGTCTTTATGTTTTATAAGCCACGGGTGCTTAAACAGTCAACACCGTTTACAAACAACTCTTCTGAGACGAAGGGTCCCAACTACAATCAAAACATTTCATGAAGCCGTATGTGAGCGAGGAGAAGAGCGCAGCTCACTCAGATGCTTTTAAGCTACGGGCGTTTTGCTGTGTTCGAGCTTTGTCAAATGCTGATGCAGATGTTGTTGCAACAGGATCCTTGATGTCAATAACGACTTCGAAATAGAATTTTATAATAACAAAAAATAAGCTACAATGGCGCTCAAAAGGTACTACAATATTAACATTGGCTAATAATATGCACAAAATTATGGTAACAACAAAGGTTCTGAATCGCACATTTTTTGAATTGATGTTAATATATGTTAACTTTTAAATGTGTTAGTCGCTATATATCGCTAGGAATGTATGAAGTATCGCCGAATTAAACCTTATTCTTTACTAGCACTAGTGTGTTCTCACTACAAAAAGGAAATGACGAAACCGATTGGAAACTGAAAATTTTATATGAAAGGAATATATATATATATATATATATATATATATATATATATCTTGCAATTAAGTGTCCTTTACGTCGCATTTGTTAGAGTTGTTATTGAGTTACCTAAAATAAAGTAAAATAATTTTAGTCTATTATTTACGTTTTTATATTTTAAAATTTATACTTGCATGTCATAGACATTTTAATTTCGATATCCTGCGTGTATGTTAGACTAATATGCTTTATGCATTATTGTGTAGCTTATGGGGAATGCTATACGTATATATTAATGGACGACAAAAGCACTGAACATCAATTACAACAATTTTCCGTTCACGAAAGTACCAAAGCAGCACCCACGTTTAGGTTTAAAGTGAAAATGATTGCTTAACCGTATTACTTTAGGTTCATAGAAAAGCGATTAAAATTCGATATATCACTCTTATCCCACTCATGTCAAATACTGCCTGTGCATGGCCAGTGTCAAGTATACATGGCGGAAAAGAGCAAAATTCAGGTAAGCGTACGCTTGTTTTGAGATTTTTTTTTTGAGAGTTTTGGCAAGACGCCAAACACACCATGCCTCACTGTCAAGCACGTGACGGAATACAGGATAGACCAACACATAGTAAGGTTCCAATAAAAATGAACGACAAATGTTAGATTTAATGACTAAACATATAGAAAACTGAAAGAGGATTACGGCCTCCTTTTAGGGCATTATGGCTAAGAAGCAAAGACTCCAAAATTGCCCTAATAGACTAACGAAAGGACAAATGCGAGACGGACAAAAAGAAAATATACTGCTACACACATTAGTGCGATGGAAGAGTTAAGAATCAGATATTGTCCGGGACTTAACGCGTCTGGCGAGGTAGAGAACCCGACGGGTGAATAAATAGAAACAAGACTAATGGAATAATAGTGCACTAATCGTTCCTGCAAGCCTTTGGTCTCGGAATAATATAACTAAGTACCAAGCTAAAGCCCCAGATAAGGAGATTCTGGATTTAATGGGTAGGTAATAGCCTCATAATATCAAACAAAAGCCGCAGTCGGTAGAACCGGTCTGCATAAATCTCAATAAAAAAGCAATAGCTTTTTAGAAACGTGATATAAATAAAGACAAACGAACCCACAAGAAACATTTCAGTTTCACTAACTTCCTTGTGGAATTGTTTGTTGGTATAAGAATAACCATTAAAGTTGTCGGTAAGATAACCTTCTCGGAACTACATAGCAAACAACGACCGGAGCACAAGCTTGGGATTTGCCTCAGCAGTCAGAAGGCTCTTATTGTTATTTTACTGACTAACTACTGACAGTTCCCACACGCAGCGTATCTCACCAGCAGTCTAGTCTAAATTCTTCCATTTTCTACACATATAGGTTTTACATCTTTGCCGGAATACAACTCTGCAACCACAGCTGACATTCGAATAAACTCAGTGCTAAACAACAGTAATTTCGTCGTACGTGATGATAAACGAATCGTCGCTTTACTACCGAGAATTTTTTTCTTTAAAGCAAGCCAAATCAAGCAAAACAAAATAGCTATGGATATATATGGGTCAAAATATTATTAATATCGACAGTACATACTCTGCTGCTGTATAGGAATTCTGGCTTGCAGACAGAGATGGCATGTGCGATAATGGGCAAAATATACGCATTAAAAAACCTGACGCATGGTTGCTCTATAGGGTGATTAAGGTCTAAACTTCTTAGTTAAAGGTCTATGAATATATCCGTCATGTGTAATTCATTACTAGATTCTAATCTCATCTGAATAGATCTCTTAAAGGTACACATATAAGATATACTTCGTAAATAAAATTTGTGTAACGAAGCTACAGCTGAGGGCCAAAAATAGGTCCTTGCGGGTGGTAGGATGCGGCGCCCCCTTTGTCTGACTGAAATCGTTCTCTTTAGCACTAAATGTACGGTCATGTGCAAAATATTGTGTATCTACTTGTTATACCCAGCAGTGTCTGTAAAACTAATATGCGTGTCTGTATCAAAAATCTGTTTTTGATTTTTCGCCTTTTTGGGTTTTTTGTCCGGAACATGTTGGGAGGCGTTGTGAGCAAGGTGCAGAAACCAATGTTGGCTATTAGTTCGAAGATAATTTTGTCCAAGATCTGTTTCTCTGACCGAATGGTATCCTTTGGAGGCCTATGTAGAGAGTCGTTTTTTAACAATCGAGAGCTCTCGATCAGCTGCATCGACCTACTACACGTATTCCTAAGCTTACATTTAGTTTTTCACATTGAAAAAGCCAAAAGCTATAATAAACACATTATATGAACAATGACGGCGTTTAGAGACGCACCGTCGCCGCCATCGTCATCGCTCAACCCGTACTTGAGCCATAGGGTACAGTAATACTATGCTATAGTCACCATTTGTTAACGCTGGGGTTTGAACTACCGACAGCATATTCATGGCTACCTTGATGACGCACTGAAAGAGTCGCACCTTGCCACCCAGGCATGTTGGTGAATGGCATTCGGATGACACCCTCGAACACAATCGTACATACCTCACTCTGCTCGACAGTTCTATGAAATAAGGAAAGGCTGTGTTACTACATTGTGCAAATTTACACAAACGCCCTATATAAATGTACACAGATGCATAAATAAAAAAAAACATATATCAAAGCTGATTAGCCAGGCCAACCCTAATGATGTATGAGAGATTTATAAACAGTAAACTACGGGCTTCGCCTGACAGTCATGTGTCGTCGCATATTTAGGTGTAAGTGTATGTAGCTGACCCTATCCAACCGTGTAGGAAGACCTAGTCGCGGTCAGTCCGGACCGTTATGATGATAACTGTTTCGTTGATGTAAGAGTGAGATCCAGCCTGGCATAGTAACTAGCTGCGAAGAAAAACAGCGGATACGTGCAGTCATCGGCTGGGCATAGGACTGATTTTTTTTTTTACGATACTGTTAATATCTATACCGTTAGTTTCATAGTTTAGCAAATAGCCCTATGATAAAGACTAGATTATTTGTGATGGAGTGGTATATCTGGCATTTGGACGCTCTATAAACGTAAATAAATGGATTGTTCTATAATAAGCCTCATATCAATATCTCTCCCCTGGCGTACACAATTAGTAAAGGAATCCGTCAGGCATATGTCATAAATACTGCATTACGTCATTTTTTTGAGGCGTTATTCCGTTCTTACATACTGGCTATATACTTGTATATTGTACTGAATTGTATTATTACTCTATAAATGGCCGAGTAGTCCACAACATTTTGTTGCAATGAGTACCTATAATATGCCTCACAATAGTAACTAATATATAGATAAACATATTTACGATACATTAACATAAATATACTCAACAGACCTTCTCTTATTTGCCACGTAAATGCAACGTAAGTGTCGCAGGCTCACAGATGAAGAAGCAGGATTCAATTTAATATTTTATTTATTAAAAATATTTAACATAAATAAATAAGGACTCATTTTGGAAAGGTAAGTGTCAGCCGAGTATTTTTATTGGTTGTATTTATATTCTTTATCCTAGTTATATCACGTGCATATATATGTATATATATATATATACATAATACATGCACGATCTGTTAACTCTAATTATTTTTAGTACCTTAAGTTCATGTCGGCATTATGCAGACAACTTGGGATTTACTGGAGCAAAATCGGGCAGCTATATTTCGGGCTATTGTCTTCATAAGGCGAAAATTTCTAGCAGTCATTCATGCTTTTCTTTTGCCACAGGAAGGTAAAAATCTTTGTGATGCTTTGTCTATATACATTGTGGGAATAAATAACACGCAAACTCTATTGGTACTAACTATTGGTAATAAAATACGCATTTAATTATGCAGACTGCAAAACAGGTTTAAGTTTCTAATTCAGTCCACATGAGGTCTAGAGGCAAAAAGCGCTTTCTATATTATCAACATAGAAGAATCGATATGGATATGATTTCGCGGTCATTTTCTTCTAGTGGTGTTCCAGTACGGTGTCTCTTTCTGCCATCTTGGTTTTTATTACTACTAATGTATTTTTCCAAAATAGATTTTGTCCCGTTTTTTTTTTATTAACCACGCATATCTGTTCATAGAATTTGTGAGAGTATCCACGTATATCCACGGTACTTGGTTCGTGTGAGACTATATTTTCGCAGTTTGACGTACTGTCCATTTCACAGAAAAAAAACTGCTACAGTGCAATTCCACCAAACTGAGTTGTAAAAAAGGACTATTCTCGATAAGTACTACTGCTACTACTGAGCGCAAAAGGGAAAATGAGAAAAAAAAAATGAATCAAAGAACTTCAACAAAATTACAAATAACGCTCATTCGCTTTCTCTTTCCTAGGTCCGTCGTTTACTTAAATTACCCTAGGACGGAACAACTGGCCATAACAGAGGTTAAATAGAAAATCAATATCTTATCAATAAAAAACACACTGTTATTAGTTCATTTCATGTACCTTGAACCTATCCTATGTACAATCAACCGACATAACGTTATCAGTAAATGTCAAATAATAGCTTCGACTAGAGTTCAAATCATCTCTAACACATTTTTTGCAATTAGCATAGCTAACGGTTAAATACACGTGTACGAAAGCAACACGCTCGCCTTCGTAAATCTACTTGCAAATCTACTCCGTTGCACCAATCGGTTGCTCGTATCAATCCGATGGCCAATGCAGCGGAAAATCATGAAGTAAAACCCCCAACAGAAGAGATCTGCAAACTGCTATATATTATGTGCAAGGTATTCGATACTATTCATGGAAATCCGAGAAGCAACAATTAATTATTATGCTAGAGTTCATCGTTTGTTCAAAAGCTCTGCTATATTTCATTCCTTTCGTATAGGTAAGAGCGTACTGGGGTTCTTGGTTGAGGGAGGAATGAAGTCAAAGAACACTGGCAAAGAAAACCTTTAGCGCTGCTTAATAAATGCCGGGAAATCCGATGAAGCAATATGTGTGACATTATATGGTGTACAATCATTGTTCCCTACCGAGAAATGGTGTCTATGAGGACTAGTGTCCATTATTGCTCTGTACCGAGGCTTTAATTTTAAATTCATTGTGTTTAAAGTTTATAATGTGCGCATTGTGCATAACGTCGACCGTGGGTATACGTGGGACAGAGCAAATAAGAGGCAAAACACAGCCTTGTAGCGTCTAGCGCAAACGGTTTTCGAACCTTGTTCTACTAATTCGTGGCTTCTGATAGGCTCTCGCAATCACACTTGAGATTCATAAAGACTTTTGTGAAAAGTAAACGCAGCTTACCATATAATACCAATAATGGAATAGCAAGTGGTTTTCATATACGACCGATTCCTGTACCTATTACTTTGGTCCTACAGCTTTAAACAGCCAAAACACGCTGAAGGACGACTAGGGTAAACACGAATAGGTCACGAAGTAATTTTACGTCAAAATTTATACGATATGTGGCTCCATACTGAAAGTAAGCCAGGCTTACTTTACCGTTCATCCGCTTGCATATGATAGCATCTTGTGCGCCAAAGCGCCAAAATAACTTAAGACATTTTTTAGTCGTCGTACTCGACCTATTGACGTTCGTACATAACCTACTCTGTGTTGTATATCTACGTATCAAGATTTTTCGCTTTTAATTGAGTTTTTTTGACCTATCATCATGGTTCTTTATCTATCATGATCGATGTTACTCGTTCAGAGTTTGCGAGAATGTATCGATTTAGCAGTAATCGTATCCAGATATCGGCTTTTAGGGCTCGAAGCACAGCACGATGGTTTAAAATCCTTTAAGTTGCGGCCTCGGCATTTGTATAATAATAATAATAGATTAACTTCTCTTTGTTAGTCATCTATTCTTGCACATGGAAGAGTAGATGGTAGAGTGTAGTTGGGCGACTATTTGTGAACAGAGAAAACTGCTGATTAGCTGAAGCCACACAGTTCTAACTGGTCTGTGTTAAGCTTGTCTACAATGTGGATAACCCCGTTTGTGACAAATTGGTCGGACGCGATCACCCGCGATGAACCAAAAGTCAAGAGCTTATCTGAAACAAAAGCCAAGAATTTAGAAGAATTTTAATCCACTAAAAGATCCTACAGTTAAACTAACTTATAAGTAATGACTATCTTTTAACAAAAAAAACGAAGGAGTTCCGAAAAAATCTATTTTCAAAGATACTTCCCATATATAATTCGAATTTACAAATATAATATATAGCTAAGGGTTCTATAAGCATGCAATCTCGCGTCCTAGATAATTGTGATTTTCTACTAAGACTGAACACTTTCGAGACCAATTTGGCTGTAATACATGATTTGTGCATGTGAGCTGGTTTACGTCCCGTGATAGGCACATACGTACAACACATGGCTGATAAAAGAACATTTCCAGTTTGCTTTTTGCGTTACTTCTCGTTTTTCTACATGAACTCTAAGATGGATGTTTGTGTATGAAAAGTAATTTTCAATACGATTATCGATAGGCAAAAAGCCGATTTGTTTCGTTGACTAAAAAGTAAACACTAACCTGCTTTAGATAAGCCTGATTTCTGTTGATATTTGTGGGGATCATTGAATTCGAATTTGATAGCCGTGCAGGTAACACTGAGCCCATCCATTGGTGTAAGGACAGCTCCACTAGGTGATATTGATGATGAAAACCATAGGCCGGGGACTATATGCTTTTGAACCGTTCCTAGTAAGTTAACAGGCAAAGGTAACAAGAAAACGTCATACACAAATATGTGTTCGCGTCGCTGCAACATAGTGTTGTATTAATCATTCCGCCAACCGCCTGCAAGTACTCACTTGCTTTCAGAACGTCATTCTTCGCTAGATTTTTACGGATCGAGGGAGCCACGCGCTCAAATGCGGCATTAGTTGGTGCAAACACCGTGACCATGTCGTTCTTTGACACGCGAGCAAAATTGCGGTACCATGAAGCGAACTGTGAGAGAAAAGGATTGGCGTCTAGGTAGAGTTGAACAGAATCTTCGGCCACAGGCCACAACACACGACCCAGAGTATGGATCGAACCGTGCTTGTGATTTATGTCTCGGCTCTGTAAAGGCGCTCCGTTCACTTGCTGAAACAATGCGAAAGTGAATCATCACTCCACCTGGTTAACATCAACCTTGTGTTTTTTGTACGTAGGATTAATAGAACCTGTAGAAATCCTCAATTTCAATATCTACTTTGAATGGGAATAAGTGATTTTATAGGCACTTGTTTGCACCAGTGCATGCAGAGATTGTTGAGCGTTAGTTGAGGACTGCGTTTAGTCATTTATTATTTGATGACAGGTAGTTACATATAGATTAGCAAAAGTATAGATGCTGGAAGTTTTCAAACGAAAACAATCTCCACGTTTCAAAGAATTTTGTGTAGAGATTTAAGTGAAAATGTGTTTTATGACAACGGTACTCTTTGAGGGTCTGCTTGGGATCTGCCACAATACTTTGTGATAATTTTGTTCCCGTATGGCAAGACTAGACAGATTTAGTTGAAGGCAGATTTCCGGTAACTATTCGCCACTTGTAACGGTTCCATAAAATTCGAACAAATATTATCCTGACTAAAAAAGTTCGCCATACCCGATCATTGTTGATATAAATGCTTTTTTCAAATAAGCATGTTGCGATCCACGCATCGGGCTTCAAATCTCTCGATGTGACATAGCCAGGCAGGAGGTGATAGAGAATGAAGCGACGCAATTCATTGGGACTTCTTACAAGTCGCTGTTTAAGATCATCGATCGAAATCGGCAAATACGCGAACGCTGCATCACTTGGCGCCAGAACCGTTACCTGACCTAACACGCACAAACATTCACATTAAATTGTATCACAATTTATTCAAATTATAATCAACAAATCATTGTTCACTAACACCTAAGAATTTGTATTATTAGGTAGACTTTTTTCATTGTATAACTGGAATGTGCTGGGGCCGTTGAAGTATTTTGGATTCCTCATTTCAGCGCATTTTGCGTTCATTGGTTTCAAATTTTCATTAAAAAACTGGTGTCTTTAGACAAGCCCGTAGGTCTTTCTATATTTGAAAAAAATTTAAAAACCATGCGTTGTGGAGTGAATTAAAATTGTAAACTTCGGTTAAATAAAAAAATGAGTCCGCTCGGTTTGACTGAAATATACGTATGCAGAAGTGAGCAGCTAGACGAAGAAATTTTGTAAGGGCTTTTAAAAACGGTACGTCACCATTAAAGTGTCGATTATAAAAATACGATTTAGTGGCATTAAAGGCTGCACCAAAATAACGCATGTTAGGTCTTGTGATTTCGTAGAAAAGCAGTGCTTGTTTTGACAGTAGTCAAAATAATTTTCCTTTTCAATAGAAGCCTACTTTTTCATAAGACTAGCAACATGGTGAGCCCCACTCTCCTCTGCATAATGAATAGAACGACTTCAATAGGTAGCAATTCATAGTGATACAAAATAGTCTCATGTAGTGTGGATAGGTTCCTTATCCGTCAAATTCAATACCTTTGGTATTTGACGTCATTCCACTTAGTGATCTCAATATTAGAGTTTTTTAATGCTTATTCCCTTTGTCACACTTAAGTATACATATGCGGGACAATACAGAAATGTATAGGATAATAAAAGTCCTATACATCCTTTATTTTAACATCCTATCAAAATTTAAGAGAAAACTGCTTCACATTATCAAATTTTGTGGTGATATAATAATAAAATATGTTATAAACGAAGATACGACGGAAACGGCAGGAACAGTCGAATGGAGCCTGTGAGAGGTTTGAACACCATCATAATTGAGCCATAGATTTTGAGAACAACCTTTCCAAAAGATCACTCCGAATTACCCTATACTATAGCATTATATATTTAGTGTTGATATAAAAATTAATTAAACACAGGGTTCCTACAGTTTGATCTGAAGAATAGCATATATTCGTTATAAAATTATACATTCCATCTGGTAAAATGTTAAAGATTTCATGTTTCTAAGTTCACGGGTAAGGACTATTAAGCTCATATTTATAGCAAGAGTCAAATGTAATATTCAGCTTGGACTTGCGGAGCCGCTTCGATTTCAATACAAAGACAATAGTACTCATAGTAGGCAATAGTAGACAATAGTAGGATGATAGTAATAGGGAATCATTACTTACCGTTAGCTTCAGTGAGAACTTCGTTAAAATCTACGATTTCGCCGAACGACGCCAGCTTGAGGATGTCCGAGAAAACAGTCACCTCTTCCGGCAATCGATTTAAAATCACCTATTTAAATTGGACAAGGTTTTCCAGTATTCCTTGTTAAATAGTCCTACAGCATAAGATCAACGTGGTAACACAACGATCTACAAGTCTTTATGACTAGCCTGAACAACACACATACATTGTTACATTAATATGAATGCAACAAAAAAGATTACGGAAAAGAGATAGCAACCCACGTAGAACTTCAGAGCGTAGTCTGGAATTTTATATACATATTGTGAAACAGTTATTATGTAGTTCATATTCACATTATGCATACAAAACGAACTTTCCAGCTCAATACAAAGAGCTATAACTCTTTAAAGCTAAATGTGTTTACCTCGCTAGGTGGCATTTAGATATTATGCATCAGAAGGAGCGCTATCTCTTTAGAGAAATATACTTACAAGATGATCAACTCACTTGAAGGATGCTGCAACGAGAACATACAGCTGGAATAAACAAAGGAGGCGGATAGGGGAACCAGGGTTCTGAAGAGGAAATTTTTGCCAAGCAGGATGAGCAAAATGGAGCTTCGACGACACAAGAATTACGCTTCATAGGCGATCTAGTCGCTACCTGCCAACGAAAAAACAGGTGTATAACATTCTCAAAAATACATATCAATAGTCCCAACATTGATGTTACTTCTAATTTCAATAGCTTTAATTAATTCTAATGTGTAAATTTCCTCAAATATAGCGTACTTTTCGAAAACGCTTCGAAACTTTCGAGATGTTGTACAGTAGCCCTCAATATCACTAACCACGCCAGAAGTTCACTGTTTGTCGTGCGATGCGATCATTTCGGGCAAACTACAGGTTTATAAGTTAAGCGTAACATGAAAGGCACAGCGGTTGTCAGCCGATACGCGGAAGCTTGCGACTTTATTTTAAGATGCTCGATAAGAATATATACGGGTCTATATATATATATATATATCATTTTACAATGCAAGTAAATGAACGTTTTGCATCTTACGTCTGGTACTGCCGTGCTCAACTGCTTTAGATGGCTGGTGCCAGTGAGAAATCGCGTATGTCTACGTTGTAAAAGTTACATAAAAACAACGTGCTATAAAAAAAGGCTGCTAGGTTAATGCACCTGTAAATTTTCGTTATCTTCATCCTATTTTTGCGATGTAAATACCAAAAAGTTCCATTGATTTTGAACTACAAAGCTGTAAACCGTTGTGCTGACTAAGTACGTATTTTACAGTCCTTTCATAGTCCTTTCACATAGTCCTTTAAAGAAAATATGTGGTTTAATGAGAGACTAAAATTATTTAATCAAGGTAAATATTTTTTTGTAGTAGTTGACTTCATATTCTCAAAGCGGGGCTTCGCTTAGCAAACAGTCAACAAAAGTGATGAGATTACCAACAGCAACTTTGAGGCCAAGTTTAAGGTATCTTTTTTAATGAAGAATATTAATATTGAAGGCACTCTCTAAGTGTTTTATTAAGAATAGACACAGACTCCTTTTAACCATCTGGAGCAGAGTAAAGTGCTTGTTATTTCTAGTACTAGAAACTGAAAAGTATAATTGTATTATTTATGAATTAAATGAAATTTTATGTGCATATGTACAGTTTTGAGAAGTTGCGTCGCGTCTGACGGAACTTATCTAAACTGGCGGAACTCACACTCTATCACTATCTGGCTTAAGTTAAATTCAGTCTTAATTATGCGGATGTTGCAGTGTGGCAGAAATCACTACAATCGCAGTAGATTTAACATAATTTTTTTTGCATGTTTAGAAACTTTGTTTCACACTGGTTCTACAATAAACATTGCATAGACAACTCTGGCTCAGCTATACCTTTTTCTACATATCAACCGTTATGTCTGACAGTTTCTTACCGGTGGTTTGTATGTGGCAATGGGTCTGATCGGGGTAGGCGCAGAAGTTGTGTTGGCTATCATGGGCAACGTAATCGATGGCCTAGATGCTAATTCAAATTGCGGCGGCAAAGGATGACGTATGGTGGTTGTTGAAGCCGAAGTTGGTGTTACGCTTCCAGGAGGATTAAATGGATATTGTGGCCCACCACTGGCAATCTCGATATCGGGTTGCACCTCCGGCGTGTGCATAAAGCCCGGCCTTCGAGTAGAATATTGCTGGGGAATGTGTGGGGTGAAGGGACCAATAGCTGCCGTGTCAGTTTGTCCACCACCACCCCCCACTTGTGAAGGTCGCATATTCTGAAGAACCCAAGCAAAGCGGCGAAGGAAGGGTATGTAGACAAACCTAATATAACAAGTAAAAACGTTAACGAGGTACATTTTATATTATACGGAAATAATATCCGACGCACAATCGAATCCTATATTATACTATTTTATTTCACGTCGATTTGTGCTTAGTACTACTATATGCAAATATATATATTCAAACGATACATAAGCGCAGAATGTATAATGGGATTAAATCATTTCTCCGTGCTTATGTTAAGCACAACGTCTAGTGTAATGACTATCTCACTTAGTTTGTTCAGTTTCAGTGTGCTAGCTTGGGCAGCTACATTTCTATTTGAAATAAATCAGGAGTCGCTGCCCCAAACCCCCCAACGACACATAGATACTACACAATCTCTGTGAACAAACAGGTTCATTATAATTATCATTATTATATGACTCACTTCGGGGGGCTGATACCATTTGCCGAAAGGGCGACCGGTACAACAGGTACCGTAGCAGTTACCACCTGTTTGCTGCCCCTGTCGGGATCCACCACGTTGCTACCGTTATCTGATTTAAGCCCGAAATGCTCCTGGACATTCTGCTTCTTGTTGTGAGCGCCCTTTGATGATGAGAAAAGCGAAATGTTACGAGGATATATTCTTTGTTCTGGAACAATAGGCGGCGCAGTTGCTAATGGAAGCGGGAAAGGTGAGAATGGTTTCGTAGCTGCTGGAGGAACGTGGTTATTCGAAACCGTTATCCGAAAAGCTGCACCCTTCAGGTGATTGCTGAACGTAAATGCCGTCGCCGCCGAGATAAGCACGAGAAACGTGACCAGCGTCTGCATCACGTCTGAGGTCGGAAGCTACGCAGACACCTCGGCAAAATCGGTAATGAGTCATGGATCGACAACCGGGAGACCCCTAATAGCAGTCATGATATGACAGCGCATGTGTGTTAGCGTAACATCAAAATATCAAAGGTGCCAATAACGCTCAGTCACAGATTCTTGGCTTTTTCGATACAAAAGGATTCGGCTCGCGTTAACGATAATTCGCGCACATATTTCTCTGAAGCTCGTGCAAGTGCACTTAACGGTTCTTTTTTGCCCAACTCGATTATTGATAAATAATTAATTTCCGTAATCGCGGGAGAAACACCAGATAACGCATGAGGCTGTTGTTTGATTCAGCGAATATTCTGCTATCTATGATAGCTTTTGAGGGATACAAAAAAGCAATCAAACTCTATAGGAATTTGTAAAATGAGCCGAATTCAAACTAAAACTAGAAAGAATATCTTTTAGCTTCCATTCTACTTTAGCTTTTATGTCATTGCGACGGTAAACCAATTTTGTGTGAAAATCATGTGCCTAATAAAAAGACTTAGCAACAATAATTTACAAGATTGGAAAAGGCTCTGTGAGCTGCCTTCGCCACTGAGAATAAGCGCAAAACAAAGCTGTCAAATTTTGTTATTAAAGATGAACGAAATTTGCAAAAAGTTATAAGCAAAATATACAACACATTGCAAGATTTTTGAAGTAGTGCCTTCTTAGTATAAACTAAGGTCTAATCTATAGGTACATGATTTAAGGAATATTTTCTATCCTAGTTAACTATTGAGCCATTCGATGATTTGCACGTGCGTCTCCCCAGGAATTTCTTAATAAAACTGCTTTCAGTCATACAAAAGGAAATAGATAGGGTATGCTCTAAACAAACTTTTTGCTACTTGTATCGTAAAAAAAATCGCAAAAATTGGTCGAACTAATCATCGCAAAATCACTTATTACTTAACTCACCGTAGAATCTATGAAAATATATAACAATAGCCTCTAACCGGAAAATTCTATGAATGAAAGCTGAATAAGATAATGGAATGGTACAGCCTTTACACAAATAAATTTTCAGTGCACTCGAACTCACTGTCGCGGCGGTAAAACTGTGCCTATAGAAATGAATTCGTTCCAACTTTAGAATACAATTAATCCATCTACTTGCAATGGCGATTCGTAAAACTGAGTAAATTCCATGCTAAAAATTCCTTACACTGTACTATAAATAGAACTTGCAACGCTTAATTGAACAGTCAGCATTACTTCATGGTGTCTTTTAGGTGAGTTTTTAAGTTGCGGTCATGTATAATTTTTACTCAAAATGACAAGTAATGAGCTTAAGTAGCTTATCATGCCACATCATTATATTATATATATATAGACCTTATAGGTTAATTAAGTAATCTCGATAACTTTATTAGCTTATTGTTAAATGACATCGAAGCTCTCAGGTTGATTTTTCAGGCTTAATTAAATACTCACTATAACGGCTTAAAGCTAGAACTGCTAGTACAGACGGATACGAGGACTTGCCATCAAAGAAAATAAAACTGACCTAAAGTAAGCCGTTACAACAGCGTCACACCCCTTGTATATTTCTGCATTACTGGATTTGGTCGCTAACGCATATATTCGAAGTGTTTGTCAAGGTAGACGGCGAAAGTACTTGCTTTCTTTATCTTATTTTCTTAAACTTAATTTACTTGATATGACACTGAGAGAAAAATGCAGCAAACCTTAATTATTAGTAATATGTGTTGAAACATGGTTTCAGAGTACTTTTGCGCTAAAACATCTCTACGGTTTACTCATAATACTGATAGTCGTTCAAGCACGGAAATAAATAAGCGAAAAATATTAAAAACTTAATCAACTCTGTGACAAAACGGTAATAGGATAATAGTATTCAACAAATGAATTTCATAAAAATTAAACAAAATTACTCTTATTGGCAGCCATATCATGCCACTCTAAACTCTTGGTGATCAACTTCTAGGAAAAGATGCTTCTATGAGAATATACTACAAAATTTGCTGTCCTACGCTTTGTCCTACGTCAACGAATGTCGATGCCACCTCCACGACTGCAAGTTTTCTTAGACTACAAGGCTAGAGCGGTTCTGACAGAAAACATATCCTTCAGTTAATCTATCTAAAATAACCACAATCACTTCAGTAATGTTCTACGTAGTTCAAGACCGAAACACTTCTGCTTGGAGCCGCTTTGCATGCAGATATTTCATATAGACCTAAGGTTATTCCGACATTGGTGGGGTATTAAAATCGATATTATTTAAAAGGCTCATAGTCACTAAATCGCATAGCTCACATGGGCAGTGTTGCCCCTTGCCAAAAACTGCCTTTCTACAAAATGAATTTACCAAGAAAAGCACGACCTAATTTTATTGACGACGTGCGACTGCTTTCTTGGAACTATGGACGTTGTTTACCATGGTCTTTGGGTGTCATGTTTACTGTCACTTTATTCAGTACTCAAATGATGATGCATAGTCATACTGAACTGGACGAGCAAACAAGAGTCACGCTACGAAATAGTCAATTTGGCCAAAAGCTATTAGCTATTTCCATAGCAAAAGCCTAACATGTCCTGTTACTTTTTTGAACTGTCGCCTTTTTCTCTTTTACCTATCATTGATATAAAAGTTAATTGAAGAATTAAAAACAGTGTCGTGTATGGGTAAAGTTTGTACATCTGCGTTGATTAAATTACCTACGAGACGCGAGTTTATCGTCGGTGCGTTCCTTCCGATACCGTTAACTTGTGCTTGCGCTTGCCGCATACAGAGGTAAATGCTCGATTAGAAATCAGTCAAAAGCTCAACCTAATGAAATAGGAAAATCGGCATGCAGTCACATATACCAGTAGCCCTTTCACACTTTAATGCTCCTGGCGGCTTGTTATATTTAGTAAGTACCACTGACATGACCTCATCCACGTTGTTTCCGTTTTAGCACCGTATTGTCACATTGTTATAGATGTATAGCATTTAAGATTATGTACACAAGTTGCTAATTACCGTCACTTGGCCTCTGATTATATCCAATTAACCAAGTACCATGTTGCGGTGCAGAAGTACGATCACCATTTCAAAACCAGACAACCATTGCTTCATGCTAGAAAATTTGTCAGCGCCATGCTATACCATAGTAGTATAATCTATGATTGAGTGTCTTCCCTAATATAACTGGATGTCAAATAGCAGGAACATTTGACAGAGATGAAATCCTCTTCTTCCAGAAGTTGCTGAGAAGGCTATCAGAAGGCGAAGACAGCGCACAGCGAACACGGAAGTGCGTTCTCGCAAAGAGCTTCTACCTAGACTTTTGCACAGCAACTGGTCGCTGAGTCTTTACTGATCTGGCAGATACAGTCGTAAACCACAAAGCACAAGATCTAAATACCTATATAGAGAACAGGGGAGACAAACCACAACTGCGAGATACGACCGAGTTAGCTAGGCATTGTGCGTGACGATCGCAGCGAAGACTACGTTGCTAAGTAACTCTAGTGATGGGAACGATGTCGCGTCGCTTACGTCTAGCATGAACAGCAACGGGACACAACGGACAAGCTATTTTTTTCGGTCACTGTTGAGCGAACTCGCTCAATCCTGGGAGTGTCCAGAAAATGGCTAGCGCCAACCACTTTGTTGTAGGCCACAGCGGTCAGTCAATCGAACAAATCGCCTTTATTTTGGCAAAATCGTTCACTGACTAACCGAGTTCAACAGTTTCAAAGCGTTGTTATGCATATGGTTTACAATCACTTACTCGGATGCTTCGTTTCTTCACGTTTTCTCTCACCTTAGTGACCCTTATAGCCCTTTCGTGGTTAGCTTGACAAAAACGACAGAACATAGCAATCGCATAGACGGCTAAAGGTACTACCGGACGCTAACGACAAGAACCTCGTGGACTACGCCGTCGTTTTACACTGTAGACAGACAACAGCCGATGGCAACAGTAAGTGGCGTCTCAGCCCGACACTGCTTCACGTCATAAGAGTTATATATTTTTGGACGGCAACATTGCTAGCACCATGTCTTTTCTCCCTATATAATCTGTATCAGTTATAGTAAGTAACTTCTACTGTCACAATATCCAGTAATTCAGTGTAACGGACGACTTTATAGAAATCGTCGTTTATCGATTACGAGTTTAAATAGCGAAACCAGTTCCGAACATTCATGTGGAACTTATTCCGGAAGCCAAAACCCAGGAAGCGTGCACAATGTGCGGTTGTTAGCTAGGAAAAAAGGTAGAAAATGAGAGGTATAGTTCGAACGACGGATGCCGTAGCATTCCGATTTCTACAATATCGGTAACTTTGTTTTGAAAATTACGATAACCAGCCTTAGTCTAGACCTTTGACGACCCACATGATTAATAGAAGTGGTCATGCAACTGCGGTATTGTACGTATTAACACGGCCTTAGTATTTAAGCTTACTCTGTACCAACGGCCGACACCTGCGCCGCATATTGAGGCTTAAAGCAAAGCTAAACGCTCTATAGAGGGGGAATCGAAACAGAAATCTTCAATAGATGGTTCTTACAGCCAAAAAAAATGGGACTTTCACTGTTTTTATTGACACAGCACTTAAATGAGCACTGTTAATTATGTTTATAATAATGTGACACTAGTGACAAAAATAATATTGTTATATAATAATATATTATAGTAATACATAATATATTTTTACAAATCCTCACAAATTATCAACTACAATTTATCGAACTATTTAATCTAAATGGTATTGTTTGTAGTCGTTTTACAAGCAATCGGACAGAACTCAACGGAAGTACAACAGTGTCAGAAAAGTGTACACTTTCACTTAGATATAGACAAGTTACCAAAATTCTCACTAACTAATCATTGCTCGCTCTGGAGTAGTCGTTGAGCAAACTCCAACTCGATTTTTTCCCAATAATTTTCAAGTACAGTTCTAGAAAAACACGATGAGACTGACGAGAATTATGAAACGTCACAATTTTATACTTGTATCTAGAGTGGATTTAAGACACTATCGATCAATTAGCCAATTGATGTACTCAGTTGATTAGAATTTTGTAATGCTTATTGAGGCCGAGGGCAAGAATAAAGAAATTCATCTAGTTTTTCTCCAATACACTTCTGACGCTCTTCGAAACACTTTTTTTGTCTTAAGGTAAAATTGTGAATACAAAATTAATAAAAATAAATTAAGCCTTTACAAACACATCATTGACAAGACGTGCTAAAATTCCGCGTGTAAAATCTGAAGTCCAGCATACACATAAGTTTATAATAATTTAGCTACCAACCGTTAGCCACTCGCTCCTTTAGATTTTCACATTTTTACTACTCTCAGAAACGCAAGTTCGTTAACCTCGATGAGCCAGTTTCTGTCCAAAATAATGACGAATTCGTTAAAAAAATATCAGTTCCATGGCCAGTTTTAGACGTAAATGCCTTTTCGGATATAAACAAAAATAACCGAACGAGGTAAATAAGTTTTGAAATAATCAAATGAATGATTTGGTAGGTACAACAAAGTGAATATGTGTAATGTATGAATTTATTCAGTCTATCGTTAGTCTTTACAGTTGAAGGGTTTAATTAATGAACGCATTCCATCACTACAGCAAACAGAGCATTATAGCGGGCGCATTTTCCATATAACCCATTACAGTCATTGTACAATCATTTCTTACCTTTATTAGGTTACCAATGTGAAAAGTAAAGTTTACCAGTTCGAAACTTTTCCAGCGGCAGTGTGTGACTTTTGTATTTTTCCGAACGAATACAGTTACTTTAATGTTTAAAGGTGACAAAAAAAAAACTAAACATTTTTATTTCTTTGACAACAATTACTTATTATTAATAGAAACAGTACTTGATGTTGTGACAATTCGGATGACGAATTACTCGGAGAGGGCACAGTTGTACACAGTCGCAGAGCACAAGTAAATATGAAACATGGTAGATACTTTTTACATAGTTTTCCCACTATTAGTCTTGCGTTTCCGTTGGTTTTCATAATACTAATAGTTGGATTAGCGAGAATAATAGGCTATCGTCTCCATGTTGACGGCTGCGGAGAATGATAGCAAATCCGCCGCCTGCCGTAGCGGCTTATTATTATCATACACGGCTATTAATTAATGGCTCTAAACATTTCCATGAAACGCTGTACACATTTAAGATACGCGCACGGCGTCAACTTCTATAGTGTGCGGCTCTGGAGCACATCGATATAAGTGTCAGCTAAACGTTAATCATGAAATGAGAATCGAACGCTATAGCCTTCAATCCCTTCGTTCACCCCAAACGAACGGAGTTTATCATATATGTCTATCAGCCTTAAAAATGAAAATTAATGGTAGTATGTGCTTAGCGAATTTATTGATATACATTGCCTCCATGATAATGTAATTATAAAATAATAGTACAATAATTATACTAGTTATCATAATAATAATAATAGTTTAATAATGATTTTCTTAATCGTCAGCGCTTTATGGTAATATACTTTATCGGAAAATACAAGCCTTGAGAAATTCACAAAATCTAGATACAGTTGCAACAATTGAAGACATCCTTCTTGGAGCTTCAAGCACTCCCGGTCCCCAACAGAATTAGAGTCATCAAAATCGTAATCGTACTTGATACCCCATAATCAGTAATCGGCAATACTCGGCTTTATCGCAGTTTTATTTATTTAGGTTTTGGCCTTTTTCTTAGCGATGGCGTCTTCAACAGCCTTCAGTTGGCGCATCAGTTCGTCGCGTTTCGCCGCGTCCGACTTTTTGTCCTTTTCCTTTTTCTTGTCCTTGTTTTCTTTCTCGACTGCCTTCGGCGGTGGCGACGGTGAAACACGAAGCTTCTTTGGACTGCGGGATGGCGATCGACTAGGACTCGCGCTGAACGGCCGCTTCACGGGAAGCTTTTTTGACTTGTCAAGTAAATTCATTTTTATTTGAGTTCCTATCGGACGACCAAGTGGTGATACTTGCCGGGGTCTGCGTGGGATACCTTCAGGTGTCTTGGAGCGGCTGTACCTTCTACGACGAGGCGAGGGAGACCGGGAGGACGATGAACTTGAGGACGAAGATCGTCTACGACCCCTTCCGCCTCCAGTGCCAGCCGTATTTATACCCCCTCGTCTATATCGGGTAGGTGACGGGCTAGCAACCAGTCGCCCACCTCGTTCCGACGGGTACCTCTGACGCCCCCCGCCTCCTCCTCCCCCACCACCCCCGCGTGGTCCTCTTCCCATGGGGGGACCACTCCGGCCGCCGTAGTTACGTCTTCGGTCACGAGAACGTGATCTTGAGTATGAAGAACTTCGTGACGACGAATATGAGCTGCCTGATGATGAAGAAGAGCTTCGTGACGACCAGCTTCTGCTCCTGCGGCGTGGGCGACCACGAATCGGTGATTTTGACCGCATCCACGGATCTCTCCAGACATCTCCAGGACCGGCACGTGCTCGTTCCCTTTCAGCCGCTGCATATCGCTCCTGTCGTAAACGATCGACATTTACCGGCGACAAGGAACGAGGGACTTCACGGTGCCGTTCGTATGTTCCATACATTTTGCTACGTAGAGGTGGCGAAGGTGATGGTGAGACGCGTGGAGGTGACAAATCCCTGACAGGGGATGCCTGCAACCCTTGATGCAGCTTGCGGTCTTCAAAGGCGGGATCCTCCTCGCGCCGCCGATTAGCCTCTTTGAGCATTTCCTTCGCGTTACGTAAACCGCGTTCCCATGCGGACTCCACAGGTGCCATTGGAGGTGGCGGAAAATGGGGTCCTGGTGGAAATGGCCCACCGGGCCCACCAAACAGACGTGGCGGTGGCCCATGGGGTGGGTGTGGAGGCGGGCCGCCGTAGGGAGGGCCAGGTGGTCCGCTCATCGGGCCTCCTGGTCCACCGGGCTGCATACCTGGGTGAATAAAACGACATTGATTGCCCCACGTGCATTGTCCTCGACTGAAAAATCGGCACACAGCCGGCTTATCTTTGTCAGCCTTAGAGGGGCTGCTGAAACGTTCGCCCTCCTCATCTTCAGAATCCGTTACTTCGCCGTCTTCGAGGTCACTTTCACTACGTTTTTTCTTTTGTTTTTCTTTTTCAACCACCTTGTCATCCTCGTCTTCATCTTCGTCTTGTTGATCTTCCTTTTCCTCTCCTTCTTCAGGGAGTTCAATTTCGTCGGCTCCGTCTTTGCTCACTTCATCGTTACCGTCATCACAAGCCGGTGGTTTGCCGCCGGCCGGACTCCCACAACCAGATCGGAACGGCGAAACGGAAGGCGAGCGGGAATTGGCATCATCGTACTTATTGTCTCCTGGCTCCGGACCGTCTTCCTCAAAATCCAGCACTCCGTCATGTGGTTCCATAGGATTATCTGAGATCTTAGAAGAATTCTGTGAGTTATGAGACTCCTGTGATATGATCGAGTCCTTGGTTTTCTCGTCAGCGGCTGAATCTAAATTCGAGTTAGAGTCGGCGGTAGGCGCGTTGCTGTCCGGTGAGGACATTGCTGACCGGCGCCGACCGGAGACTCGGGGCACTACACACTTTTGACACGTTTTTTTGAAGCGCTGGTTAGCACACTGAGACACACAAAAAATGACCAAAAAGATTAGAAAACATGCCAACTTCGCTAACCAACTAACAAGCTCTCGAACGAAATCTCAAGCAGACGGTTTGTGTCTAATGTAAACAAAACATGATTTTGCCTGCCCTGCGCCCTCTAAGTGATAGCCGACAAATGCAGTTTTCATCGTATGGGAATGTTTTCGTCGAACTAATCATATTCACTCAGGCTACAGATTTCGAGTGATGAAAAGGGCGTACTTTAGCTGAACCCTGTATGTGTTTCTGTTAGTATTTCAATTGATATACTATGAAATCACCACTGGCACAAGAATATGCGCGAGGGACATCGCTAACATGGGCTTTGTCTCAGAGTGGTAGCAGACGACGGAGGTGCTGCTACTGCTGGGAAGTTTCTGTGAATATCAAGTGTTTATCGTCTGTATATGTGTGTGTCTTTGCGTGTGTGTATCTGTGTCTGTGCGTGTCTGTTCATGTATGTATACATTCTACTCCTATGTGGCAGCTGGTGCTGTAGCTGGTATGCATGTCAGCAGAGTGACAATACGGCTAGCAGTAAAACGAATAGTGTTTCTGTGAGCGATGCGACTGCAGAGTCGATTGCCCCTGGTGTGAGTGTGGGTCTGGAGAAGATTCGATGATTTCATGTGGCTCATGCTATCCAGCTACTGAGTGGCAGAATCGAGACTATGGTTACGAGCAAGAGAAAGAATTGCACGGTGTAAGGCTGGAACTCCCCCGACAAAGATCACAGAGCTTCGCTGGTACAATCGAATACAGCAGCAATAGGAGTAGTAGAATAGTGCCGAAGAAGAGTCTCTAGTCAAAAGAGATTTCCTTCATCCTTGTGTGGGTGCCTGAGTATAACGTTTGACGGAGTAAGCTGGCGGTAAATCAGCAACCGCCAAAATGGACACTCAGGGGGCGGGAGACCAAGGGGCCAATAGTGTAATTCAGTGCGAAACAGAACGGGACAGCACCGGCAGTGGAATCGTGGAGGCAAGTAGCAGTTTGCTTCCCGATGTCACATTTTCGACAAAGGTACGTACCCACCTGCCTAACAAAAGGCTGTAATAGATATGAACATAAAGAGATCAACAATTGGAAGACCACCGTGAACTAACAACAGTAAATCTGCCACAGTAGATGCATTCATTAGACTATGTATGATTGTAAGTTATTTCTGAAAGTTGAGTCTGGTTTTGCGTTCCAGCCCAACGATTATGACTCGCTGGCACTCATTCGCACTAGAGCACCGAAAAGGGCAACCTGTTTTGCCACATATTTGGCAATCTTGACGTAGTAACAAGTTCCGGAGTGCATTAGGTTAATTGGTACTTTGATGACTCATGCAGTAGACACGTGACATTACAACGATACTAATTGGAGAAGCGCTCTGCTATAATCTGTTTTTTATGTTTATAAAAAACATTGTAATTATGTTGCCTACACGTTCTCTTTAGCTTTCCGTGTACCGTTCAGTGTTAGAAACACAGTAAGTATGTAATCCAAAAGCTTCTTGGCCGTTAAAAATTAAGTAATGACTTCTGGGAATTTCACGATAACAACGCTAGGTCTCCACCAGTGACCAACCGCTACAGAAGATTAAACAAGTACAAGCTGGTAAACAACGTCCACCATAATAACTGTCGTGCTGTTTTTATTTGTATTTTCCTAATACTAGTAATACAATGTGTATTAGTGTATCCGACAAAATATAGTATCATTAATATCCCGCTACGAGCTGCTATGGCAATTTACTTCCTCACTGTAAAGGTGTGCTTTCATTGGCTTTCGTCTTTTTGCTGCTCTCTTAGCTAACTGCTTGGCTAACACATCTTAGATGGCCGTCAAGTCGGTGAAAAACGCCGAACGGCATACAATAGTTATACTATCAGTAGTTGCCACCAAGAGCAAGAGAACGTACTCTGTGGTGTACTATACCGGCTTTTTAGAGACTGCCGGCAACAGTAGTTACAATATAGGCATAAGCAGTGATGATTTTCCGGGTGTAATGTTTCTCGAGAGCCACATATGCGCCGTGTACTTCCGGCTTGACGTGGCCGGCCGGGTGAACAGAGGCGGCTTTCCATGCTGTGATGCTACTAACAAGACTGTAGGTTATCTATCCGTACAGTGCAGTGTAAATACTTAGATATAGATATCTTTTCGCCATCAGCAGTGAAGGCGTGTTCACAGTTTTCCATCTTCGCCTTTATTTTGAGGCTTGAAAGTTTCACTCTGATTGGTCTCGGCAACTCAAGTACCAGTCTATGTACAGTGGTAATGATACACACTGGGCGCGTGTATGTTTGTAGTAGACTGTTTTGTCGTTCCGATTGTCTAGTCACGTGAGTGTCATTCGCTTCTTCGATCACCTCACTACAATTCTCTGCAAGTGTAAGCGACACATAGACAAACTGACGTACTGCATGCTATCATTTCACACTATGAAATCAGAGTACACCCACAGCTGGTAAGCATGATAACATAGTTCAACACAATTTACCACCGACACGAGGGGGCGAGCGAGCCAAATGCAAGGAACGAGATCCAGCCGGGTTCATGCAATATTTCGGTGCTATGCATTGGTTCCGTCGGTTTATGCGCCAAATTGAGTGACGCCTAATATTGAGAGTGTCGCGGCAGTATACAGTGGACAACAAAGTAATGGGCAATCAATAGAACCAGGCAGGCAGGCAAAGTTTTAACTGTACAGTCCATATCAGTCAATCAGTTAATCAATCAGTAGTAGCAAGGTGTTGAAAATAGTATTTTGCTACTGTCTCTTTGCCTAGAACTAAAAGTTGAAGTGTGTGAACGACTATAATGGATGAAGTGCGAAGATTCGTGTTTTTAATCGAGTGAATTTTGAAAAATATAAAAAAAACAATACAAAAAAAAAATAAAAATAGAAAAATGAATCCGCTTAGTGGTTTACCGAACAGTTTAGAGCCAGCATTGGTGCATCGGTCGCACCAAAATGTCGAAGGTGAACCGTCGATTTCGTTGCAGCCGTTGTCAAGTGAAAAACGAGTCCGCTTCTTGAACATGTCCGACGTCACTGACCTTGTACGGCAGAAAATAGCAAGTAGCACCATATATAATCTATGGATATAATTAGTCTACAATATAACGCGTAGAATAATTAACATATACAATGATAAGTTGATTGAATGCGTCTGCGGATCTAGACACTAACGTGAAATTGTCCAAGCGAGTTTCTATAGGACTTCCTGGAATAACATTGTAGAGTCTTTGGTCGTCTGGAGCTGTGATCTTTTGAGGTTACATTTACCTTTTACTCATATTGTATATACACAAGTAACTGATATTGTCTGTCTCACAACGAACGTTTACTCAAGGATGTTAATAGCATCGTTATGCCATTGCAGTGAAATATAATTCAGTAATAATTATTGGTGCCCCACCACCATGCGAACAGTTTATTTGAACTGAACAGCCGGCTACAAAAATGTTACACGTATAAGAATTGGCGCCATTTTTAGGCCTATGGTGGTCAGGTTAATTTTCTGCGTTGTATTTTCTTTTCAAAATGACGAATACCGTCACGGTAGTACATATCGCTATGTTTGTCGTTGACTTCTACTAGTAAAAAGTCATTGTTGATTTAATTACTGTTTTTTTACTGCAACAATAATGTACCGATAAATGGTTTTTAGTAGATTGCCCATCAGGGCAATGTGAACATTTTACACGCACGTTCTAAATTGTGTCAGCCGGATTTCGGTACAGCCAGTCATCATGCTAATAATACTCGACGGAAGTTAAACTTCTTCTGAAGGTCTAATCATGACATGTAAAGAATGATATAGCATATCTTTTTATCACTAAACAAGCGTTATCGTCGGCTCTGTTTCTTTAATTATGCTGACGGATTACTGAAGCATTTAGGTTATGGATAGCTGCTCTTTGACTTTGCACAGCCTATGTACGTCGTACTTGCCTGACACAGCATAAATAGTTGCCACTTATGATTCATTCCTCAAAACAAATTGTTTGAAACTTGTTTTTGTGATCCATAGCGTCGGCGGTTTATGAGCTTGTTTTCTGGCGACGATAGAATTCATACAACTGTCTAAAGTGAGCTCCCAAATCGTGGGAATTTAACGCCAATATCGCAAGCAATTTAGGTATTTTTATATGAGAACAGAAAAATAGGAATGTACCTTCGCTGAAGGCCTGATTCGTGACACCACTATGGATATGTATGGAACAGGACAGTTCGGAAACTTTGAACGGTCAGTTGAAATTGGTACATCTTTTTGGGGAAGATAACAGTCATTTGTATACAGTGATGCGGGATGTTTTACTAATTGGCTTTGAACATATTAAACAGGCTATTGAATTTATAGAGTTCTTCATCATTACGACTGTGACAACACGATCTAATAGCACACAAACTCGGTGTTGTATTGGACGTTCGCCGAACATTCCAATTCGAATAAAACGACTGTCATCTTTAGTTTAATAGATGACGACAACTAGTACCCATTCTAATCTTTAAGATTAGCACCACTAATGTAATGATACATAATTCAATCAAGTTTAGTTTTAGTAGGTATAATAATAAGAGAAACCTTGGAAGTGTTACCGGTTAAGCGTTCTCTCTAAAATTTTCGTTTGTTCTTAAAACAACGTATTCTAATTCTATCGTTCTAATATTTGTTCAGTTATGCTCTGACACAACCTGTACGATATAGCGGCGACTCGTCAAATGTGAAGTATATCTTTAAGAATCAGATTTTTTGAATGAATGTGAATGCTTTATGTTGTATCTTAAATACGACAGCTTGAATATCTACAAGGATAGAATTATTCGACAATATAAACGATATCGCATCAAAGGTTGGAAAATATGTACATGTACTCTACGCACTCATGTAAATCTGTTGATTTATGATCAGTGTAATCGTCTGTGCATTGTTACAGACCCTATAACCTAAGAACGAACTAAGATCAGATAAAATATCAGAAGGTATTAAAATTTTTCACCACCATATAAAAGGATTACAGCGTTCAGAATCTTTGAACGTTAACCAACGGTTTTCATAGGTTTCTGATGATTGTTTTATACTACCAGAAAGGTGTACGTTATATAAGAAATTTCCCTTTTTGTACTTTCGCAGCTTTTCTTTGCCAACAATGAACGTAGCTTTTGCAAATTTTGACGAACTGACTTTTCTTTGGCAGTTTCAAAATCCGATAGTTTGCTTTTAAATAGTTCGGAGGTACATGTTTTATTGTATAGTACAATTGAGCAAAAAAGCAATGCTCACACATCCTCGTCGGAAGTGGGTTAGCTTAGACAAGGTAATTCTATTCAGGCTGTGCTAAAAAAAGCCTACATTGTAAGCGGCTTCCTTACATAATGCAGAAAAACCGAATACTCCATTTAATATTTGCTTTCTTAAAACTGTGCGGCCACTATCTCTCGACATGAACTTTATTTTATCTATGAACTGGACTGACACGTCGTTTAGACGGGAGCTTTCCAACTCAAAATAGATCTTATGACAACTAAGGGCATCTGCAAGTTCTGTCAAGAATAATTGAAAGTTATGGTGTGGGCATATAGCAACAGCGGTGGCGGTCCATGCTTCATTTTTTTTTATAAATGAAAACAAAGAAGCGCTTTTTTCATTGATAGGCCCAAATTTAGTCGAAAAGAGACTGTAGTTAAGTTGTTGTTTTCGAAAGTCTGCCCTATTCTTAACGCGACATATTGTCACTACATCACTTCAGCGTTTGCTATGTCACAGCATAATATGCACGACAGAGCAACAAGACACAACCATAGTGCCTCTCCGGTGAAATGTCGTAATGGCTACTGAAAGAAGCCTCGGGACGCGAAGGTAGTTACGGCAACATATATATCATCATCAGCAACAAGGGCAACGGGACAGCGTCGCGGACCTTCTGCTATTATTTCACTCGCTGAGGAAACAGTGGAGGAGGTCTGTCACAGCTCTGCACGATCACGGACCACTACCTAACAAACTGTTACGCGTTCAACCAGCGGCGGAACAGCGAGTGATTGGCTAGCTGAGCTATTACAAAGAGGGCTCCACCCTACATGACAGAACAATTGGAGAAGAGCTGTGGAATCGAGTCGCAGGCGCTAAGTTGCACGTAAATATCCTACCGCCAGCTACAAACATATTTCGGAGCGTATCCCAACCATTATGGGTATTCTCCATGTTGAGTTTTGGGGACTCTATAAGGCCAAGGATCTCTGCACTTGTTCGTGGTAAATCATAATATATTTTTAATGAAGTCGCTGAATTTAAGGCTCGCTGCAGATCCTCAAAATCATTTAACTCTCGACCGAGTGCCATTGTTGTGAAACTTGTATACCAAACGCTATTAAGTTGAACCTGTATTATTACCAGTGTTAAAGCAGCGCTAGTAATATCATGTTCTTTTCTAAGCTCACATACTGTATGAGTGAGTGCGATGACGTTGCAGCAAATGTAAAGTTGCTTATACAGATGCGTATAACTTTAACGAGTTTGTAAACTGTAATTTGTGCCGCCTAAAAATTACTTCAAACTCGTTTCTTCTGTTTGTCACTTTTTACGCTTGCGACTGCTGTTGTCGTGTTGCCTTACGTTGCCGATCAAAATTGTGAAGAAAGTTCCTGTCGTTCTTACGCAAATTGCTTATCGACATTGCCTGGCGCAAGAGAGTTATTCTCGGGCGAAACTAGATGCATAAACACTCATTTAGGGGCCCACATAACGAAAAGCACAGCTATAACAGACACCGTCACACAGTTGGACTTGTTTTAATGGGTGAAACGACCGCCGATATGTGACAGACGCCTTAGCGGCTGCGGTGACTTTTTTAACGCGACACGACGATTTACGACTACTGGCGCCCGTTGGGTTAGCTGAACCTATCATTCCAACAAACTGGGCTATTTATTAGACTCCAAACAAATTATGTGTGGATAAAGAAGAATTTTCGTTGCATACTTGTTAGTACATATTTTTTCAGCGACTTGTAAGGACCAACTCTGCTGGTGGTTGTTTAGCATCCAGTCATGGTATTTATACTATCGATCTGTTGCAGGAGAAAGAGGCCAAGAATTCGAAAGACTGGAGAGGGAAGTTTGAGGAAACTTCTGGCTGTGATCTTTTAATTGAAGCTCAATAATTGTTTGCTTCTACATGCAGACTTCTTAGATAGAAAAAGTACTCAACAGCTGAAACGTTCAAGCTAAACAGTTATATTTTCACCTATAATAACAGTAATTTTTAAATCAGGTCATTTCAGAGAGGTGAACATGGATTTCCTATTTTATCATAATTGCTCACAATTTGTCAAACATTCGTTTTATGCCATAGTTTGGAATCAGCAGAAACATGAGTCAAATGCTATGGCAAGCAAATTAATGATGTCAAACCCAACAAGAAAAGGTTAATTAGATGACTCCTGTTGGGAGAACTATGTCGATGAAACTAAAGGAATTAAAAGTTCACAACAAGCTTCAGCAATAACGAACGTGTTAGGCAACTTTGGAGATTTGGACATTTAATAGACTATTTGAAACTCAGATATTTATTATATATAAGGCGATATGAAAGAAGTTTCATTAGCGTAAGCTTTTTAGGTGGTGTATGCTAATTATTTTCACTTAATACCTGGCTACACGTGCTTCAATTAACGTATTTTGTTATAAATTTATATTCGAAGTCTATACACTCATTTCGAATGCGAAACATACATGTTTTGGTTGCCAACAAAAATAAGATACAAACTGTTCAACTGAGGTTCGTACTATCAATTTTGTGGCACAATTTAAAAACTCAGGAGAATCAGCCCCTGCTTAAGCCAGTGGGTGGAGAGGAGAACGTGGACTTTAGTGAGGCGTATTTGGCCGACTCAGAGTTTGCGGGGTTGGTGCACGAAGCGGAGACGGCTATCGAGAACAACGTCTTGCCCGAGAGGATCTACCAGGGAAGCTCCGGCAGCTACTATGTCAAGAACATACAACACGAGGTTTGGTGTTTTCTCCTTAAAGATGCGTATCAAAAGCGAACGGATATGTGATATCGACCGTGTTATGCTATATCCAACTAATGTAAACGTTTTTCCTCCGATTTCAGCGAGTTGGGGTCTTTAAACCGAAGGACGAGGAGCCTTACGGACGTCTAAACCCAAAATGGACCAAATGGATGCATAAGGTAAACAGTACCGTTTGCCAATCAAAGAATACATTTCTTGGAATAATTAACAGCTTTTAATCAGCACATCATGTGAATAATATGGAATGTCGTAATAGTCCAGCTGCGAGCATCTCCAGAGCACTTAGAATGTTTCGTTTGATTTGACCGTAACGGGGTTGATTTAGGTTTGCTGTCCGTGTTGTTTCGGTCGTAGCTGCCTGGTGCCGAACCAAGGTTACCTATCTGAGGCAGGCGCATCGATCGTAGATCGTCGGCTCCAGTTGAATATTGTGCCGAAAACCTTTGTGGTAGCTCTCGTTTCTGAAACGTTCAACTATACCGCCATTGATCGAGCGAAAAGCAAGACAAAACAAAGTGTTAGTGACAGGTACGATTAGCTGCTTAGAAAATTAAGAATGGATGATCAGTGCAAGTTAATGCGTGTTTTATTCAAGCCATTAGCCAATAAAATCCGAAGAAAAACTGTAGCCCCCCGAAGAAGCCGGCTGCCTATTCACATATAACGGCTAAAACTAATAAAATAATCTAGAGCGACTGATATTTGAAAAATGTTAACCGTCACAAAAATGTTTTAGTGATTATTGTACTTAATATGTGAATTGCATGTTATGCCATGCGTGGTCGTCCATTGAATTAATCACTAATTTTTGGACGTGTATAATAATTAAATATTTGAATGCCATTTTATCGTTGCTTAGATTTCCAAAGGTTGGCCGGCGTTTCAATCGAATTGGTTTGCCGCCGAAGAATGGTTCGTTTCAAACTTACGTCAAAGGCTATCAGGACGCAGAAGAGTGGCTGCGCAAATGGGAACAAGACCCGCTACCTGATGATATGAAGAAAGCTTTTCAGCTGCAATTTGAACGACTAGTTATACTCGACTATATCATTCGAAACACAGGTTTGTGATTTTCACCTAAGTGGAATTTGTAGCTACTGTTTGAACACTTTGTAAATTAGCAGCAATTATATATCTCAGTCATATTTTTAAATTACGATTTTTTTTGCATTAGGAAACCGGCCTTTGAACACAAATTTGCTTATATGCAGACGCCAGCGTTACCTCGTATTATTCAGCAGCTACTATTAAACGATCCTTATTCTGCGGTACCGTTCAAATGAGGATTTATTGTCAGTTGAAATAGTCATGTATGGGAACGAATCTGATTTCAGATCGCGGAAACGATAACTGGTTAATTAAATGTGTGCGCCCTGATAAGGAACCTGAGGTAGGTTGTTTAATACATTATCTAGAATTCTTCGAGAGTTCCGTGTTCTCACAAATTTTTGTACGAAAACTGATAGCGCGTCGGTTTGACAAAACAAATGCGCTGCTGATTAAAAAATATTTTGGACGTTTGTCTTCATCAAATATAAATTAACTAATTCATTAAATACTTGTCTAAATTAGATTGTATTGTAAATAATCTAATAAGAAAACAAAAATTTGATTATATGGAATTAATGACGATCTGGTTGATTCTTGTAAAGGAAACGTAACGACAGATGCATGTTAGCCTCATGCTGAAATAATCCCAAATTCCGTTCATTCTTTGCGAATTTGCTTATCACAGACGACCCTATACGCTTTCGTAGTGTCTCAAGAAGGATCGCGCTTACCCGCTTACATTTCACTTATACCGATAACCAACTTTGCATTTGTCATTAAAAAAACATTTTAGGAAGCCTTAATTTCAACTATATACATAACAATGTGTATCTGGCGTATTCCTATGGGGGGAAAATCAAAAAGGGCCGTCTATTAGGATGCGGACACACGTTTTGAGAATTGTAAAAATAAAATGTATGTATTTAGTACTCGCCGCCCCCTAACAAAAAATCATTAGACCTCGTATTGTTTGAAATAAAAGTAATCAAATAGTAAAGCGGAACCTCAAACGTATAATCTGATTTGTATAGCATTCTAACATTTCAATAACCCGATTTGCTTAACGACAGCCATCAGTACGTACACTTCGTTTTCTTTTTTCTTCAAGGTAGCTGATTCTCTGAAAGTGCGCCACATAATTGCCCATTCAATGTATTCGTTCAGCTTATAGTGCAGAAATCTCATACGTCACTTATTCGATAGTATTCCAGATAACCTTTAATATATATAAATGGATGCTAAAATAAAGCGGGCATCATATAAAACCTTTTCACATTATCGTGGCGCCTAATAGTACTCAGCTAGTCGTTGAATAACTTTAATACGAAACGAAGCTATTCTTCCGAGCAGTTTGGTTACATTAGTTTCTTCGATGTTTCTTCGATTAATCAATTTAAATCTTTATTCAGCTAAACGTTTCAGTGAAGGTTTCACTTGCATTCCCATAATTGTTTACTATTTGCCGACAAGTGGTCAGTCGACGATTCTGTGGCGATTGATCAAATTCTCGTATTTGAGCTGCCTTTCTGATTGATATCTTTTTTGCGTTTCTGTCTTTTGTCTCTTTCTCCGCTGATGGTTGCATAACCCCATCTGGCAACAGTGTGCGCTTCCGATAGAGGACACCGTGGTAAGCAAAATAATACAATGGCCAAAAATTGCAACGAAGTGTCAAGCCGTGAACAAAAACATACAAACGCGATATCTATGCATCTGTTTGCGCATCGTTCCACCTTTTGGCAAATCGGCAATAGATGGCGCAGTAGTCGATAGCAAAGCGGGTATTCACCGACGCCATCTATTTTCTGGCCATCTCTAGTTCTGTTTCAAGTCACGGATAACTTTCTTCCTTGTTATGATTTTTCACATTTTTTAACTCTAACCTCTGCCGCAGCCTTTGCATTAGTCGTATCCATCCTGCACATTACATCACTAGCTATTGTGTCTCACAGTTCTACTCTATCGATGTAACCTGCTGTCAGAAGGTGATTATAGCAAGCATCGATCCCGCTTTTGGGTCACTCATAAATACTTACGGAATGAGTGCCTTTGGTGTGGGTATATTTGTTGTTCTTCGTTGTTGACAGTACATTTTCATCCCATTCCATGCATTGTCGTTTGAATCTGCATTCCATCACTTATCTCCTAGTTATGCTTTTGTGTTTAATTTCTCTCATTTACTAGTGACGATATTTTGCTGCCTCTACCATTTCGCTAGTCTTTTGGTACCTTCGACTCAGGTTTGTCATGCTGTAACGTAAATATTAGAGGCGGCCGTCTTTACTAACCGCACCTGTTTGCAATCTGCTGGCAACACTCGAGGATGCATTGATGCATAGCTTCCCGTTACTATTGATCTTTCGATTGACTTTTTGCCTCGTTTTGTCGGCGGATACCAATTTCTGGGTAAAAATTTCGCTCTTTACGATACCCCAAGTAAAAATATTTTTGGTATGCCTGCTTCTTAAGCACATTTATACTTCGAAGTGCCGGCATTCCTAACAAATGTTTGGCATACTCACGTTTTCATTCAGAATAATCTATAGAAACTTCTAGACTGTATAATAGACCGTAGTTGTTCCTGTAGGTGCATTGGAAGGCTGGATGAAAATAACATGATATTGGCTAATATGAGTCAACCAATTCTGACAAAAATGTCAGAATGTGCTGCCCCTTTTTAAGTATCAGCCATATGACGCCGGTGCTTATTTTACATTACGTGTTAGTTTGCATCTTTCAGTTTTAAGTCTGCTTTAATTGCTTCAGTGCTCTGGTCATTGTGTAACCAAATGAAAGCATAAAAATGTAATCTATGTCGAAAGGCTGCGAATAGCAGGAAACTTGGTCCAATTACAGACCGTTTACAATAATAAACAATGCATAGCGTGATGCCATCAACTCAAAATAATTCATTGATTTTATTACATTATTTGCTTGTCCTGTCTTTTGCATGTACATGTTTATCAGCTTACCTTTTAATGTTACAATTACATTGTATGTCTATTGTTGCGTTCGGTAAGCAGAACCACAACTATAAGATTCCTTAACGAATTTATTTAGAGTGAATGCACATATTGTATAATTTCAGCATATCTCGTTCATGATTCAGCTTCTAAAATCTTTCACTGAGGTGGCGATTCCAACATGCAGTTAAGAAATATTGCTTTTAGCAACGGCCTGCCGGGAAGCACATGAGTCCGGAGAAAAAGCGTGATTTTTTTTATTCTAAACTGAACCTATCATACCTATCTAGCCTGCTTTCAAACACTAGCACATCTCAGAATAGTATCGCTGGATCCTCAAACTAAAGAATCAAAATCTTATTTTCTAGCAACTTAACTAACATAAACCGGACGCTCACTATCACTAGTTTATTCGTTTGGCTGTTTTTGTTATTATAGGTTTCATATATCTTTGGATGGGATCTGGATATTCTGGTATAGCTTACATGGTTACATGTTTATCGTGCAGTAATGTGCAGAGATGACATGAGGCATTTGTTACTGAAGGCTGTTGCAGGTGATTTCGCTTTTTAGTATGGCAGTAGTGTTTTTCGGCTACTATTCATTTCGTAGATCACAAATAACAAAATACGCGAGAGCAGGAACCAATCAAGAGTTCGTTTATTTTCTTCTTTATGTGATCTGGGCAGACGTGGTCGCCGAAGCAGGCGGAAATTAAAATAGCGGCCATCGACAATGGCCTAGCGTTCCCGTTCAAGCATCCCGACTCGTGGCGGGCGTACCCCTATCACTGGGCCTGGTTGCCACAAGCGAAACTGCCATTCTCTCAGGAGACTAAGGACCTTGTCTTGCCTCAGCTGTCTGACCAGACTTTTGTGCAGGATATCTGTGATGAACTACACGATCTTTTTCGACGGGATCCGGGCTTTGATCGACACATTTTTGAGAAGCAGATGAGCGTGCTGCGAGGCCAGGTGAGAATGCAAATGAATGCCCGTTTTTTTCCATATTATTCAGTGAATAAATAACCTTCGAATGAAATAGGATAAGCATTTCGGTACATAGTAAATTTTTTAGCATGTTTCTATTAGCTGTAAATGTGAAAGTATTTTCCTCGGACTATACGCAGTTCACTAATAGTCATGCCGTAATATTATTGCAGGTATTGAATCTAGTACAAGCACTCAAAGACGACCGTTCACCTGTCCAGTTGGTGCAGACGCCTGCCGTTATCGTGGAGCGTAAATACGGACGCGCAAAGGGCGCCTGGGAGGCAACGCACTTCACGCAAAGCTTCCAGCAAAGTGCGCCATTTTTCTCTTGGTGCTAAGTGCAGTCTCGACTGAGCAAAAATAGCCAAAGCGCTGTCTTACTGTAGTATCTGTTTATGTTAAGTTTGAATTGTCTTCTGGGAAGAATTTTGCGATACCTATATTCCGTCTGAAGAAACCTATAGCAACCGTAGTAACAACGTCGCGCATTTGGCGCGTACTACGAAAGCCGCTGTAGCGCTGACAGAAGGCTTCAGCAAGAAGTCTTAGAAACCAAAAGGAATGCCAGGAAGTAGGCCTTTACTTTTAATGCTCATCAATCGTACGGGCCCTTCGGCGCAGCGCTGAATTGACAGATGGGGTGGACATGTGTCAGGGAATAACCGAAGGCTGCTCCTTGCAAGTACCACACGTATGAGTTGTCTTGTGGACGAATACACGGCGGAAAAAAATGGCTTGATTATACCGCTATTAGCAATGCCACGATGTGACCGAAATACAGTGACGAAACAACATTACGACCAGATTCGATTTTCGCAAGTCAATTATAACATTTACTTCTTTGTCAGGTGTGAGCTGATCCACGCGGGCCCGTGGACATGCGAAGCATTTAGCTAGGTTGTTATTCCAATATATATATACATATACATAACATTTTGCCGAGCCAGTCATTATTACGGTAGTTCAGTAGTCGTGGATGTGCTTTGCCTTGTTTGTTGCCTTGTTATACCAGCATTGTCCAACGGGAGCACAAAACTCCCAAATTTTCCAAGCGTTCAAGTGACGCTCAAAAAACCATGCAAAGTTGATAAAAAAATAAGCACTTTCATACTAATCCTGGAATAGGTATAATCTAGCCTTCGGGATACATACGTAATAGAATGGCAAATGTCAACCAAACAATATGAAGTATGAAAAGCACAACAAACAAACAACGCATATGACAGAACTCGTATAGCAGCGATCACGGTGATAATCTGGTACATAGGATATATAAATGCACACTGGCGTGTTGTTGACGTAAGTTCTCACTTTAATCGTGGCGGGAAATAGGCTGAAATGGTGTCTTGAAATTTGTCCGCGGCGCCGGGATTAGAAAGAAAAACGTGATTATTGCTCAGTCAGATAATATATCTGGAAAAGGAAGCTACGACTCTATTTCTAACCCAGTTAGTAAACGTACTAAAGCCACGCAGTTGCAAACTTCATGTCGTTCCTTAGATAACGAAAATTCTTGACAGCAAAATGTCTTGAGTGCATCTTCTGAGTCGCCTATGGCCTGATAACGGCTTCTACTGAAGCATTCAAATACCACCATGATTATTATTAGATGTAAGGCAGAGATGGCTGCACTGATCGCACTGATCACGCACTCAACATAAATCAAATGAAAAGACCAACCCTAAGGAAGACGGCCGCTCAGGATATAGCTTTAGTGAAGAAGCGTTACTCAAGTGTACAAGTCAGCACGATGTATAAGTATAAATGTGTATTTATGCGACACCAAAGCTAGCTCGTAATGGCTAGCACACATTAATGAAGATGCACAACTAAATGTATCTACTAGACTTTCGCAGAGACACAGTCACATACAGAATGACCAAGGTCCTTGTAAGCTTAGAGGACATGAACGAGCTCGTTTATCGATTTGAAATAGTAATTTTGAAGGGAGTTGTTTCCGTGTTTATATGAAGCATACATACGTGATAAGGTTATGTTGAAAGAGAAGTCAAAGGGAAGTTGGACTATGTTGTCGGTCATACATGGAAGTTGTAGCTGTTGGTGAACCTTATGAGTCCCTGACCAGCTTGCTTGTTACCGTTGCCTCTGTGAATGTTTTGTTATATCTAGAATTATTGACGACTGGTCAACTGCGCAAAGGTCGATTTATCTTCTGAATCACAGCAATTGGACATCTTTGTTTACATTGATCTATGGTTGCTTTTGCCCCGGCCCCGTCTTGTGAAGAGATATATTTTATTATGTACGGTTTTAAACTATATCGTATGTTCTCTACCCGTATGTTAACTAGAGCCTGTCAATTACCTGGATGTAATTATTCGCTAGGGCAAAACATAAGCAATGACAAAAATATTTTGATCTATTAAATTTTTTGCTCTGCTCTTTAGTTTATTTTATTTTGTTTATTCAATTACACTCTTATATGTTTACATATATTACATGTAGACTAGTTGTCCATAGATACATTCTAACATGTAGGCCTGTACAGCGTTTATTTACCGTCAATGTAACTAATTCTACTAATTCAGTTAGATAAGAGATTAGTTTCCTTTGAGGCTGAAACCACAGGATTATTCGATTTCTACAGAGGCTACAAAAGGGTTTACTCTATTCAAGTTGTATGAGATCGGTATACATCGGAAGTGAAAATGAGACTCTCGCCAACCAACCGTAATGATAGTGGACAAAGTGTTAACGGAAACATAAAGTAGCACACTGTACACAACCGAAAATAGCCGTTCGTCTTTTACTATGTGCGGTTAAGCGAACTTTATACGTATTATGTTAACCACACAAGTATACATACGTATACACTTTCGTAAGTTATCTTTAAATGGCAAGAAGGTTTTACTGTACACTAGTTAATATCATTACTAATAAGTACCATAATTATTACAGTAAGATGTAGGAGTGTTTCGTTATCAATGACACTTTGTAAAAGGGGGAACTGGAAACAAAACATCTTTTATCATTGGAAGCACGCATCGTAGTCACTAGATAGATTTTAACTAAAGAAATAAGTAAATACTATAAATTTTACGAAAATAAGACTAAAGCTAGAGCCTCGAGGCAAAAAAGAATGGCATCGTTGACCAAAAATAAAAAAAACTATACAGCAGAGGTGATTGAACAAAAGAAAATAATGGTTTACAAACTATTAAACGAAAGTACGACAGATGATTGAAGTCCTCACTGGCCTGATAGATGTATTACGGATATGTCGCTATACGGTAGTACTGATGAGAATGAATGGTGGAAATATATATTTTGTTATTTATTAACAAAATAAAAATTGAGATTCAGAAGGACCTCAAGCATCCGCATGTCTTTTATTCAGCTTTTTATATCTACCTGATTGTTAATCGCGTAATAACATGTAATTGTAGCGACTCGTCGATATATTACAAGTGTAATTAAGCAATATTAAATCGCAGACAACAAAATATGCGCATATCCTTTTATTCAGCGAAAATATCTCACCTAAGCTCGTACAATTTACGCTGCTAGAGCCTAATTAAAATTAACAAAAACTGATTGAGTTTTTAGTGCACAAGCTCCGTATCTTGCACGATAGAAAGACTTTCTTTATACATAAGTCAAAGTAATACTTTTACCAGAAAATGGCCCTAAGTGATCAGTAACTGCTGTGTTTTTAAACACTAATCTCCCATTCTTTTTCAAAAAACAAAGCCGAAATACTGCGAAATAAACCCATTCTGCGTTAAGTTCGAAATTGTGCTCGTAAACAAAGCAAAAGGCTTTTGAAGCGAGGCTATAAGTCAGTGCTTCTTATAAGAGGTTTCGCGACGGACAAGAGATCTTTAAAGACGTTTTGTTCTTCGTACTTGGTCACAGCGAGTACGTACAAAATGGATTAAAACAAAGGAGCTCGTACTGGAAATATGCCTAATCCAACTCACAAAAAGTTACATGTATCCCACGAGTAATGCTTGGTCATTTTGAAATATTGTTGCACTACAATAACAGATTGATTCACACGTTTCTACTTGGATCTTTTTATGTTTTAGACGAACTCAACGCCTCTTTTGCTTTAACTTTATTTTCGCCGAAGTGCTGTGACTTACTCTATCCAAAGCTCAAGAACGGCACCTAAGCGGTCGTAAAAATCAACGACGAGGCGACAGTAAAGTATTCAAAGCCACTCCTATAATCGAATTGAAAAACTGTATCGAGGAGTGGAAAACCGATGGTACAAATTGTGATCTCCTCCCCCTTCGGAGGGGAGACGTGGGGATATTTAAATGTTTGCGGTATTGGCAATCGGTACAAATTTCTGATACTTGAGACGATAGCGCCACTACGAGTTACACCTCATAGTAGTGAAAAAAGTAATAACCTGTCAGATAGATCTGAAGAATAAGATGGATAGAAAAACTTTCGCACTAAAGTTTTTGTATAATGGTTTCAAGAAGTTTTGCAGTATATCGCTTGCAAATGCGGTTATGAAGTTTGAGTTCGCTTAATTTGTTGGCCGACTGGCGCAAGGTACATTGCATAAGTTTAAGGTGCCATCTTTGACAAATATATGCGCAATATATAAATAGAAAGATATAGCCATGAAGCCTTCTCTAGCATGGAGTCCACTTATAACACGATACAAATATCTAGAGCTTGTGGACCTGGGCTGAATGCTGAATAAAGTAAGCGTACAATGTGTTTTTCTGTAAACCAGAAATATCCATGCTTTGAATTTAAACAAGAGGCGATTCTATTTCAAAACGTAAAACGAATTAATAGGTTTCTGTAATCATAGAAACTTTAATCAAAACAGTATAAAAAATGCCTCCCTGCCGATTTAAAATGTTATTTTTCGAAGCACGCATTATTCCAACAACATTGTTACATGCGAAAGACCTGCCTAGTCCCCGGTTGTCATATCCAATCCATCGTTCATTCTGTGCTTCTATGTCCTCATGATTTAAGACCCTGTCGCATCGGTGTTTTCCTGTTCAAAAGGCAGTAGATGGCGTAGCGTGACCTACCGTTGGTTTTCTAATGTCAATGACAAGGTCAGGAACGGTAATGCAAATCAGAAGTACACAACTGCTGAAAAGTTTTGGCTTCGATGTGTAGATAATAAAGCGAAGAACATTCATCATACACCAGAACCACAACAGGTAAAATAACAAACGGTAAAAAAGGAAAAGAGAAATGAAACATTCGAAAAGAAAACGCCATTATTTATGCAGCAGCTTTATATTACATAATAAAAGTCAACGAAGTCAAGTTGACACTTAGTTGCACCTTTTTAGAAAAGCTGTTATTTTAGTAAAATGTGTATTAAATACATGTGTATTATTTTGTAAAGTTTCAGTTTTTTAATGAAAAAAATATAATTTTGTCCGCTCTTAATCTTTTTGTTAGAATTGTAAGTATATTTTTAATTCTTGGTCAGTATTCTCTGTGAACGCCTTCTCAAGATATTCCTTTTCTAACGATTCTGATAAGATCAGAAGTATTCCTGGTAAAATCAACATTTTGACGGTCTTTACCTGACTATTAGGCAGAAGTAAAATATGCTACCTAGTCTTCGTTTGTTCGGTTGCCTGAAAAGAGGACTTGGTATAAAAACTTCGCATATCGTAAACATGCGTTCGAGTTCTGTCCTAGACTTCAGCAATAATAACATATATATAGACTCCAGAAAAGGTATCTCATATTTATAGCAGGGTAGAAAAGAGTCAGTCTAAGGGCATTTCCTCATTAAAGGCCTGTTACTTCTCCTGTTGGTGGCAGATGGTAGCAGTTATAAAATTTTTGTAACTCAGGAATACTATTTACCACTGTACTGCATATATCACCTGCATTTCAGGCGGTCAAAACATAGTAAACTTCTGCTGAAAATCCCTACGCGCCACTTCAGCTGCTGTTCTTCGTAACGTCAAAGAACAAGCAATAGATACAAGCGACATCCCCGTCTTCTCTTATTCGAATAATCAAGTGGTAACTAGTACTCTGCACATGGTATCGACTTTCGTCGGGAGACGTAGTCGCCATTGTGACTAGGTTTCTGGGCAACGACACCGCGCCAAGGGGGTAGCAGATTTTTGATGTCCTTAGGTCGGAGACAGTCAGGCCCTACTCACAAGTTAGCTGCCTCATAGCTGTGTCATAGTTTATAAGATGGATATATATTATTATTATAAGACATATGTTGTGAAGAAAAGAACTTACTGATGCGGTTTGAGTACCGCTGCTGCTTCTAAACAGATTGGAGCAGAATGTGACCGTTATTCGTCTGGTTTGCCATTCTTGGAATTTATTATTTGCATCCTTAATGTTCTTTTGTAAGTACCGTCTGGGAGTTGGTACGGCTGAAGGAGGCAATTTAACCTCTAAATGAACGGCTCCAATCAACGACTTTGAAACTTTAGTTCGACGCACCACCGATACTTAGGTCAGTTTATCACGCTCAGTGACACTTTTGCTCTAATTTAAAGGAATTTAGTACTAATGTTGCAGTCGAATTGACCACTTGCACGTAGAATAAAACTTGTATTCCTATTTCTGCCTTGTTGTTTCAAAAGGTTGGTATGATACCTAGCGGCTGTTGCTAAACGTAGGACTTTGAAGCTGATACATTTTCTATAACTCGTTCTTACAGATTAATAATTTTCTACAGACAGTAGGGCGATCGACCGCTCCATAGTTTTGGTGATCTGTTGATCGGAAGAACAACGCGTTGCAAAACGTTCCACTCCTTGTTGATATTTGGAACATGCCTACGACCGTGATGCCTCTACATGAAAATTATAATTGCAATGTGCCAAAGGGCCTGGGTATGAGGCGTTTGATTAAAGAAAAACACGCAGTTTATAAATTGATCTTCTTCTGAGACTAATAGTTCTTCTAATGTAATTAATCCCAAAGGAGGAAAACTCTTGAAGATGGCAAGGCACTTTCAGCTTTGTTACTAAGCGCCCAGAAATGTCCGTTCTGGTGCCAGTTCGCCATTAGCAGCACTGCAGCTGGCCTTAACAGTAAGCAGACCATTCATCTCGTGCATATAATAACAATCTTCGCTGATGACCGATATTTTAAATCAACTAGCAATAGAGGCGTTTTCACGAGTACGTAGATAATAAAATTCCGACTGACCTACGCAACCTCATCGCTCAGGATTTAAATAAGTGGACTGCTTTTAATCAATCGCCAATTTATCCTCTTGCTTTCATTTTCTCATCATCCTTTAAGATGAACAAATAATAACATTCCCGACATAATCTAATACTATCGAAAAAACTTAATATCTTATTGTGCCATTAGACACAAGTAACCCGATAATTCGAATCAGTGATTCAAAAAATTCAAAACAATAACAAGACAGTTAATTAACGTTCAAAAGTATATATATTTTGTAAATTAAAATGATTTACACTCAAACATGCTGTCACTGATAACAGGTTACCTTAATTATACAATTCAACAAATTTCGACTGTATGTCGCCAATGCTGTTAATCATAAGCTGACTTAGCGATATAACAATGCTAATAGAGGTTCAGTTAAGATGAGATTAACAGAAATTGCCTGAACAGCAACTAAAGCAAATACGAGCTAATTTCGAAATGCCATCTATTCGTGCCGTGCAAAAGTGACAATCGTTGAAATATGCAATATAATAATCATGAATAACAATCTTACCCAAAGCGGTTAATAATAAGGGAACACAAAATCAAGCCAAATAATCTGTGATTTATAGAAAAAAACAAAAGTCTGAAGAGGTTTACCGAATCATTTAGCTAGTCATCAGAAAATATGATTCTCTTTCCTTGAAATGGTTGGTTAATTGCGGCGCTAAGCTTTTTCTTCGCAAGCCACGAAGGATGTAGTTCCTGTAGAGACCCTTTTTTATGGTATGATGTCTTCTTTGACTGTTTTCCTCCCTGCGATAAGAAAGTTGAACCCCACAACATAGGATTAGTATAAATGCTTCATGATGCAGCTTTTTGTTGTGACACACTTTAATTCTGAGATTCATTGTGAACTGGTGGCGGCAGAAAGAACGCCTATTTCAATAACGACCCTCTATAAAACATGGTCTCAGGTTCTTTTGCAAGGTAATGCATCTTATGATACTTAGCTCTGCCTAAATGAGTGATAGTATGAAGTTATAAAATGACTTTGTTTGCTTTTCAGCGAAGATAGAATAAAAAAAAGTAACTCTGATTGAGCTTGATGACAGGAATAGACTTAAGCTCAATACACTTTGCTCAATACAGTAGCTAGAAGTAAATGCATTAACTCAGCCTACCCAGCAAGAAGACACATTGCAAGCCCACCAAAGGTTCTAACCTAAGAGAGAATCACACATTTGACCACGTATATTTAATGAAAGTTATTTCTTTCAACACCAGATATAAAAAATTTAGGCAAAATTTACCTGAAACTGAGCATCTAATCCAGTGGCGGTACCATCCCTGGATTGTTTATTTCTATTGTTTGTAATTAAGGGCTTCTTCTGGAATTGTTTTTGGGACTCAAGCCCAGTATTATATTGACGCTCGTTGCTTCTACCGCTGACGAAACTATTCCGATCCTGATGCGGCGTCCAATCGTGTCCCTTTTCTTCTCTCTGATATCCTGTAGAACTACCTGCATTATTGTAACTTTGATTTCCAAATTCCCTTTGGTGAAAATAACTTTTTGAATTTTTGTTAAAGCCTTTAAAACTTTTACGATCTTTTTCCATGTCATGGACGGCTCCATTATGATCTTTTTCTACATGAGTTTCAAAATTTTTCGTAAGTCCAGAATACTTCCCACTATAATTTCCTCTTCCTTTAAAATTGATCGCCTTTCCTCCGAAGGACTCGCGTCTTTCAAAAGGTGCCGCTCCTGCCCGATAACCTAATTGAGGGCCAAGTTTTTCAGGGAATGGCAATTCAGCGTTATGACTGAAACAAGCAGGAGCCTTTCCACGAAAAGGCCGCTTGCGCTGACTGTTGAAATCGGATTTTCTGCCTAAAATACATTTGGATAAGCACATGAGATAGTATGAAACCAACGCCACTAGGACAAACGTATCCTTCAAAAGTTAACCAACGAGAAACGCAAAATAAAAGTAATTTGCAAACAGCTTCGATCATTGTAAAAGCAACTTAGTCGCCTTAGAAGGTCGCTATCTCCTTATAGTAGTTAACAACTATCCGCCTAACGACCTATTTGAGTAAATGAAAATAACACCATTTTTGCTTTATACCTCGTTAACACTCACCTATGCCCCTGTAGATGCTATCTTCAGTGCTGTCAATTGTATATGACTTCTTCTTGTGACCCCTCCTTTCACGGCGATTCAAGCTAGGAGCTTTCTCTTTGGGAATGGTTTTTGACGTGGAATCTCTGGTTTCTTCGTCGCCTTTTAAAAAAAATGACGCCCCTTCATCTGAATCCTCGCCACCACTACTATCGTTTTCTGCCTCACCAGAATCATTTGAATTGGAGCATGCATCGTCATTTTTATCAGAGCCTATAATCACACAACCATCATCATGAAAACGAGAAAAAATATAGGAGAGGACTTTTTTGCGAAAAGTCAATAACAGTTCTGTAAAAAACACCTTGTTGCTGTTCACAAAAGTCAAGCACACTAGATACGGTAGTCATGAGCATGGTTCGTCTATAGTCTTAAACGAGTTGCATATAACCAATTTTGCATGATAACCATATATCCAACCTGTCCAAAGAAGCCAGTTAATCTCTACCGTCTGATTAATTGAAGTTTTCCAGAAAATCAGAAATCTCTCGTCGCTCTCATAGTATAAATATTTACTTTTTTTCAATAGCTTTTTTTGGAGTCAGTTAAAATTACGAGAGTGATAATAAGCTTGTATAATACCTGCATTCAATAAGACAAAATTACAGTAAATTTATGAAATTATTTGACCGTGACTCGCATCTTTCCCATATTCTTCTTGGTCTAGTAGCATACAGCTTGGCTTTGGTTAGGAATACTGATTGATGTATATAAGTCGAGAACGGAATTTTTTGGGCATATAGCTTGCTTCCACTATGCCTAACTAACCTAGCTTTGGCTCGGCGGATTTGTTGGCTCTCCTTAGCACCTGTCGTTTTTTTAGTTCCTCCATCTGCTGCATTGCTTTATTTCTTATTGCGAGATCGTCCATATCCTTTGTGATACACTGAAGTCTGTTTTGTACTGAGAAGTCAATTTCAAGTTTTTTTTTCTTGTTGTTCCTTAAACCTGTAGAAAAAAGACTCCCAAAAATCCAAATACATGAGTAACTTATGTTCAGAGCTTAAGTACTTCGATATTTACATCGCTATATACGAATCTCTAGTAGAATTTGCTTGATTACTTTAGGACACTGAAGCGAACGTGTACCAATAAAAACACACCATCAATAGGAAGTTGTCTTTTGCACCGAAGCTCCATTTCATTTTTAGAATCTTCAGAGCTTTCACCCCCTAGATGACCCCCCGAATGACGCGTTTCTTCGGTCACATCAGACGCTTCTATATCTTCATCCTTCTCTCGTTCATTTTCTTCCTCGGTATTTTCGTCAATCTCGCTCTTACCAGATGCAGTGTTTACTTTGTTTTCCTGTACCATTTGCTTGGTGTCATTGTCGACATCTTTTCCAAAGTTGAGGTCCTTCACTTTTTGATCTTGTCGAGTTGCATCATTAGTATCGCGGTTGGCCCAAATGTCATCACTACCCTCGCTGTCTGAATATTCAATATGCTGAGGCGCGTACGGCCGAAATGGATTAAGTCCTACCGAGCCAGGTATGTTATTAGAGGCTCTTTGGCTTCTTTGGACGTCATTGTTGTCGTCACTGTTTCCATCTGTGAAACAATCTTCAGCTTCGCTGCCTTCACTATCGCCGTTCTGGTGAGTGCTCAAACGTCGCGCTGCCTTTTTTCGATTGAACACAACCTCTTCATCAGCCTCATCGCTACTTGGCTCCTCTTCTTCTTCCCAATTTTCTGTCATAGACTCTTCCGCACTGGTGTCTGACTCGCCGATAAAATTTGTTGACACACTGGAAAATTTTTTGCTGGAAAGGCGACGATTGTTGCTAATAGCTTTCTTATTTATTTGGGGTACTGCTTGATCTGATGAATCACTCTGCAAGAAGCCGATCAAGTAGACCAATATTAGTATTACTTTATGTATGTATTTGACGTAAGCAATTTAGAGTTTCAGATATTATTATAAACAGAAAGTAGGCCACTTGTTTCTATTCGCATTCACTTTCGAGTTCGTGTCAACTAACTTGTCTTATAGGGGAAGACTATTTATCTAAAGTCTACAGTTTGTTAAAAAAGGTGATACCGATTACCATCTTCACAACAGAGTCATTATTACTGTCAAATAGTTTGTGAGACCCTACATTTGTGCATGAGAATGTTATGTATTTAGTCAATGCTACTTCTCTAACTTTCCTTTAGGCAAGTGAGTCCTGGCCAACGACTAATACTATTGCACAGGTGTTTTTACTAGCTAGGGCACTAAATTTAATATTTCTTTATTTTTAAAAGGCCATACCGTTGTAGACATTGTAGCTCTAGCTCTCTTAGCGTGTTTATCAAATCCTTTTTTGATGTCCGTTGGTTTTCGTTGCTTATTGTCGCTGAGATATGTTTCTATGCTGTTTCGTGGTTTTAGGCTTTCACCATTCAAGTCAGTATCTGAAATTTTGAGTACAGATCTACGTTTCTTATCAAGCGCAGCAAACGTAACGGTCATGCATGCAGGTGCACTAAGCTTTTCATTTGACGCAAACGATGTGTACATGTACAACATACTACCGTATTTACGTAACAAAGTAGTATGTAGCTATCACATATATATTACTTCATATAATATCTGACAGAGCATTACAAACTTATACAAAGGCAGTAAATCTAGAGCAACATCTCTAGCTTCCTCAATAAAAACCTTTATTGTCTCAAAAACATACAATGATAGAATTTAAAAATAAATACGAAAACGCTAAGGTCGTAATAAACGCGTTCGTAATTTTTAAAAAACTACTTAGTCCAAATGCTTGCTATCTGGACCATGTTCACGTAAAGATATAATGGTAAAAATACAATGTAATGATTTTTTTGATAGTTAACTCAAGGAGACTTCGAAAAAAACAGTAGTCCAAAACACGCCTCTACAAATGGGTAGAACTAATCTAGTAATACTCCACTAGCTGTATTGTCTGAAGCTGCTTTTGAATAAAACACATTTTACGCTTTCAGCTTCAAGCAAACTATGTAGCACTACATTTGTTTTGTATGAGGTTTTGGAATCAAGAGATTTAAATCTTCACATACATTTCATTCAAACAAACAGGACACATGGGCTTCATTTGCTGGAAGAAACTGTTATTACGTAACGATGATTAAGTAATTGTACTTAAGACGTATTTAAAGCAAAAACCAATGTAACTTGACTTGTAGTAATAATGATATCCGGTAAAAAATGAATAATAGTAATATATAATCTACCTTGTTTATTCACAAAGTTTTCGTCGTTTCGTTCTCGCTTGGTTTTTGTCTCCCGAACCATTTCTTTTATCGAAGGTCGATCCTGTAATGGCATGCAAAGTGTCAGTATTGCCCGAGACCAAAACAGGCAGCCCTACTTTGTCTTAGCAAGATTCATGTCATGCCCACAATACTAACAAGAAACGACGACTCAACTTTTTCCGTGACAACAATTTCACTTCATTGATTTAACCTTTACACAGCGGCTCTTAACCTGTCGAATTCGAACTGGCCTTCAGCTATCGTCTTACGTGAACAAGTCTTCGAAATCACTTTTCAAAATCGTTTCGAAACTGCCAGCAGAGGTTCAGCACCGATATGAAGAGGCAAAATGACTATATCAGTCACTTGAGTAGCTGTTCGTTTTTTTTTTGGCCTGTATGCCTTATTCTGTTCATGGTTCCTACAGCAATGTGTTACGATATACGGCCTAGGTATTTACACCACGCCCCTCCTTTGGCCCCGTAAATGCACGCTTGAAAAACGATGAAAGCCGTCATCGTATTAGCCTAAGTAAATTTATTGAACGAAACGGCCCACATGTTTTTATATTTGATCAGACCGCGGAATTGCTGCCAAAATAGTTTGCTAATAAATTATCAAATCTCTGAATGTTGCTATTTTGTATTGCCAACAAACTTAATTGTATCAAGTGTTGGTGAAGAAATCATAGTTTGCTCACCTTTTTTTTATCTTTTCCGATGACCTTCCGTTCCTCCTTTATTTTTTGCCTTTTGTCCCACATCTCTAACAGCGGCGGCACCCAATATTTCCAATCGGCGTATTTTATACGAAAGTGCGATAAAAACATCTCAATATATTTTTCCCTATAAAGTCACGTAATAAATTCAAAACCTGTAGCTCGACCATGGAGATTTTTTACAACTAATTTAACATTTCGTTACACCTTATATTCCGAAAAATAGAATCAGACTTTTGTTTGAGTTACCTGTTCCGTTGGTGTAATGCTTTTCGTGCCATAGCAGCTGGAACTAATCCTTTTTGTTACCTACTTCGCGAGTTTGTACATAGAAAAAAAACAATCCGTCATACACTACTGACTTCCGCTTTTTATAAAATGGTATATGCTGAACTGTTCTTGTACTTACTACGGATTTACTCGCCGCAGTCTTTATTATGATACATTTATTTTCGGGTTTATAGCATATATATGGCGATGGAAAAGGCGCCCCGAGGCCACAGTAGATCTTTTTCATATCTGTGTAGAATTTTGAATCGTAAGACCATTTGTGTATCGAATTCATTCAACTGCGAATTCTGAAAATTCTAAGAACTATTTAACATTTGTAACTCATATCTGAAGGCTTTGTGAAAGGTGCATTTTCCTTCGATAGGTACACTGCGGCAGAATTTGATTCCGTACGTACATAAAGTACTTCATTATTTGCTGCAAGTCCAGAATGGCCTTTAACAAGTTACTTTTTTCAATATCCATTTTCTTAAGGGTCGTATGGCAGAGTCGTTTATTTTCACCCTATCGCAAATATGTTCGTTGTAGTCTCAGTTATTTGCGGACTCCGAAATACACTCTTGCTACGGTTGCTTTTAATCTGAAACGCTCTGAAAACTCACTAGATACCTAATCCGACTGTAAGGTCAATGCAAAGTGTTATCTTATTGTGAGTATGAAACCTAACGCTTGCCCTTTGCGATACATAACTAACAACAAACTGACTTCGTTTAACTCATTCAGCGTTCCCAGGTTTCACTTCCTCCGATCATCACATAATTATGAGTGCGAGGCAAGTACTTGTTGCCAGTTATTAACGCTTGTTCGTGCTATCTATAAATACGTTGCATACATTAATACTTTACCTGTAGTCTCTCAAAAGAATCGTGTTGAAAGTCAACACGAAGATGGAAGGTAACAGATAATCACGTTGCGAAATACGTTGCCAAATCGGTTTTACATGAACCTGTCATTTATTTTGTTGGAAGTTAATTTCATTAACTCTCTTCTAGAGCATGATGTGTGAGCAAAAATACAGGTTCTTGGAAATCATATGTTTCGAAACGTTGAAGGTATCTTGTTTACCATGCTAAAATACACAAAAACTGCTTAAACTGGTTGTCTTACAGATGGATTTGGTTTACTAAATTTTGACGCGACTGCTCATACGAGCGCCTCGGTACAGAAATATATTGGTGATCTAATGCTTATCACAAGCAATGCAGCAGCAAGTTGGACATTGTCAGAGTAGTTAGGATCTTAAAGACGTAGTAACAGATGTTCAGTTTTTCAGATTGACCGGCGCTTGAAATAAATGGAATAATTTTTTTCAAAATAAAAACTGTCACGTACAAAAACTTTGTACTGGGTTCCGTATAGACACTAACGCTTGTGTTTGGAATAATCATATTGTAAAAAATGATGGTATAGTCATATATGTCTTTTAATTGCTATCAACATACCTGCATAATCTGTGAAACGCCCGTTCTTCGGGCTTTGTTGTTTCAGACTCCATCGCACGTGCGTGATCATCTTCGTTGACAAGAATCCTACGGGCCATTAACTTCCGTTGACGGGAATTGGTGAGCGTCTTTAAAAAACTGCAAGATCAATACAAAAAGAAACGTGAACGTTTCAAGTACAACGCAAGTTCTAATTAAAAGTTGTAAATGTTATGCATGTTATACTAACGATAACTTTGTGGAATGAATTTTTTTCAAGAAAACTCCTATGAAACACTGCAATTTATTTTACCCTCAAGATCAAAGTTTATGCGCATTTTGTAATCGAATTCACATTATAAAATTATTATATAGTTATTCTGTGGCCTTTTCATAAACCATCGGTGACTGCCTCCTGTGTTAAACATTGCACCTATTAAAAATGACAGCAAACATTTATCTGACGTGTACTGTAATCTCAAATATTTTATCTAACTAAAACAATCCATATAAGAATGAAGGCTTACTATATTTCAAGCAGCAGACGGTGAATCCTGCTCTCAGACTTTTGAGGATGGGTCTTCCGAAGTGCTCGAATTTTTGCTGACAAATGGTGAATTGTGAAAACTCGGGCCTTTATAAGAAGATTTCCAAGTCTAACAACTGCGTCATTCACAACTTGTTTATCCATTGTAACAATGTAGCAAAGTGTCAGCTTTATAATAAATCAGTTAAAAAAAAAACATTTCCCGTGTTTTAAGTCCGCCACTAAGCATTCTTTCAGACGGCTGTTTTCCAATGCGGAATGGAATCTACCTGCGCCTGAATTCAAACGTAAACTACCATGTGTCTTTCATTAGTTCAACAAGCAAACACGTCATGCGCTACGCTATTACGAGCAGTGGATTTTACTGCATCACTGTAAGTTACCAGGTCACTTGCAGAGAGAAGTTTACTATAGAAGAGGCATACTTTTATGCGCGTTAGGTCCTCGAAATGCGAATAAGGCGCCCTTCATATTCCACTTTCGACAAAACTTAGTAGCATAATATCATTAGCACTGCCATTCCGTGCGCAATGTTTCCAGTTATAATAGCGATGGCAACATTGTTTGTTGCTCTTTACAGCGGCGTGTTGTGCTATGCATGGCAAGCTTACAACTCTTCAACTGCACGGATAGTATCTGTCGTCATTATATTAATACAAAGGGCAGGACGCACTAAGTTCCGTAGCCGTTGTTTTCCTTAAAGTCAATACGGTCTAAAGAACTATATTAGATATGTAGAGTAAAAACGGGCAATCCAATTCTACTCCATACGCGATTTCTGATCAATATGTGACCAACTATTGCTCTCTCTGGGTTCACTAAAGGCACCCCCCTCGGCGAACGTACATACTTTTGAGAACAAAAATAGAACGACCTTAATCATGCTACATTCATTCTGTAATAAAACCGTATATACGTTATGTGTACTGTTTTCCTATTTCAGGCATATTATATATCTTAATTGACTTCATTTCAGCGTTTCCCTCGCTTCAAGAAAGAGCAGCCTTAACATATGCGTTCATCAGCAAATATGTTGTCTGCTCCGCCCTGCATATAAACTAGTGTTCTACAAAACACCACCCAAAATACAAATCCATCCATTCATTTCTATGTTGTTGTTTACACAGGAGAGATTGTTCTTCGTTCTGGAAATGTGACAGCGGAATTGAACTCGCTAACGCTCGTTATAGCGACAGCTATTCTGCTGCTGTTGTTGTTGTGGTTGCGCTCTTCTTTTCGGTTCCAGGTCGGAGTGGACGACGACGCAGTACTGCTTGGACTGCTGCTGCCGCCGCCGCCGCCGTCGTCGTCGTCGCGGCCGTTGCTGCCGTTTCTACCGTTGCGGTGACGGTGCTGGCGGCAGTAGTAGTCTTAGAAGTCGGCAGCGAACGGAGTGGGTCGCTAGTGCGAGGGAGACACAGCCGCGCTTGCTGCTGCCAGCGCCTGGTGAGAGGCAGACAGAGAACACTGTATCGCAAGACGGCGCCGCCATCGGCTGAGATAGCCGCCAGCGGCCAAACCGCTCAAGCAACAAAAAAAGACTTGAGCTGCTCCTGGTGGTATTACGATTGGATCAAGTTCGAAACCCCATTGCCCAAAGTTGTCGCCTCTAACGCTGTCCGACCCCGCAGTGAGCAACGACAGTACGACCCTGACTACGCTACGTAGTCAGTCGATTAGACGGAAACAGACTACGTAAACAGTACAGTGCAGACCAGCTGCGCGTGGCGCTATTTATAGTGTTCAACTATTCGATCAATTTTCACTCCCTGATGAAAAAATTATCATTGTTAGCCAACGATGCCACGGTATCCATTACGAGCGGTTGTTTTTTGTGTAGACAGAAGTTAACTTAAGAGCCACGAGAGAATAAATTTGGTGTGAGTACCTTCGGGGGTATAGAACTGCAGAAGCACTTCACGAAAGAAATCGTTGTATGAAACAGCTCCGCCACAGACAGATACACTGATACGCACAGGTCCCAGCGTTAGTTAGAGTTAGTTTTTTCTTTGTGAAGACCTATTATGCTGTAACGCTATTGCTGACACGACTCAAAATGGCCAAGTAAATTTAAGTGCAAAGCGCAAACGAGAAAGTATGCAGGCGGGTTTGCTGTTTAAGATACTGCTACATTTCGAGATAAGATCCTGCCAAGGACAAATATCTTGGTAAAAACCTGGATGTGGGTTTTCTAACCGTTTTACTCTAGGCTGTATTTAACAGTGACATCAACGAACGACGGTATAAAAATTATGAAAATGTAACCACCGGTAGAGGAAGACGAAAACATACTCCATAGTTAACCGTCCCAGAAGCAGCGACGTTTTCTAGCAGCCTTTGCAGTCCGTGGTCATCGGTCATTCCTTGTCGTGGTGCTCGTTGTTGTGCTTTGCGACGATCTACAATTTATTGTTGTTGTGTGAGCGTGAATCTTAGCCTTCCGATTGCTACTCAGGATACCGAGTTTCTCTGTTTAGCTAGAGAATATCATTGGCATCAGCAGAAGCACAACAAAGCCATTCACAGCTTCATCCTAGGAGTAACAGTATAATCCACAGCAGTCCTATCTGACTGTGCCTGTAACAGAAATCGAGACTAAGTTTCATTCGATACTTGGTTTGATTTTATCCTTTGCCTGCGTGTGTTGAAGATCACAGGGTTGACTCCAGTGTTTGGAGTAGTCGTAACGTAACAAGGATAAAATAAGCATCAGTCAGGGAGCAGATGCGAACGGAGGAAAAATAAGCTAGTATTAGTGTAACAGCGGTCGTGGATGTGAAGTAGCTGTTAATACATTCGTCCGTATGCTGCGGTGTATTTGTTTTTTTATCGAATCGCTCATAATTTTTTCAGCCCTGGTTGGTGGATTGGTGCCAGCAGTGATGGTCTGTTGTGCCCCTTTGCATGTGAAAGTATGACCGTCAACAGTCGCGTAGTTAATGGCCAGCAGGACAACTACCGCGGCAGGACAGAGCATCTCTTTTTAAACTGGTAAGCAGTAAAGTAAATATAGAAAGACCAAATAGAATATTTCTGAGAGTAAGGAAAGTCCGCTAAGGTGCGTTATATATGTGGTTTGAAATATGGAATCGTTGTCTTGAGAGCGAATGGCCTATAAATTGAACTTTGAATTTGATTTTTCGTGGAATGGCAGGAAGGATAGTAGGATCCTAAATGATCCCCAATTCCCGCTTGAGGACGCATACTTGCGGGGGGTGCGATATCTTCTCAACTGAATAGACAGTCGATTACGTTTTCGTATTATCGGATTTATGTTCTGCAGGAGAATAAACATACTGAAATGTTTGGCAAAAATGATCGCTAAAGGAAGTAAAGAACTTGTGCAGTTAATTCAATACTGTAGGGCCACGTCAGTAGCCTTACAGAAGCCGCTCTTCGCGTATGCCCATTTTGGAAATCCCGCGCGTCCTTTTTGGGAAAAGTAACGCTTTTTTTTCATAATAACAGCAGCATCAGCACCACCGCTTTTAAGCGATACAAAAAAAACTAATACTGGGAGTTTTGGGGGGACGGTGACGTAATTTTTGAGCTCATATCAATAGTGATAATCATAATCGTATGAAGACAGTGATTATCATAACCACCATACTCGACTGTACATTCAATAGCAGTATCGAAGGCCAAGTCCACTGTTATACTAATTCTATTGATATTCATCGAGTGTTCGCTGGAGAGCACGAGTGTTTCCAGTCTCAAAAAAGGGGTACTTCTGTTGTAACTAGATCGAAATATAAAATTATCAGTTATTCTCAGTGGCTAAGATCGCTTCTTCATCTTGTTCGTATGTAAATTGGACAGAAAATATTTTTTGATACTGTAAAGCGTCAATGTAGACAAGATATTCAGTCACTTTCATCCAGCTGTCCCGTGTTATTTATCGGCTCCAATATCATCCAACACGATACATAATTTTCCCTAAGTTTCCCTAAACTAAGAACTCTACGTGTACGTTAATACAACCCGTAAATTCAAAGACGAAGCAAATCCGCCGGTTTTCGTAGAGTGGGTGGAGGTTGAGGCTGTAGCCTTGTGGGTGACAAACAGCACCACCATCTTCTATTATACATCGAACATGTATTGAAATGTATTTGAACCGATGATACGATGCTGTAGCTTGGGAGTACGAGCAGCCCTGTACAGAAGGATCAGCGTTCGGGTCCAGTAGAAAATGTGCTACTACAGTTTCTAGGCAGATGCCGACCGTCGCTTGTTACTATGGCGTCGTCTGGCTGTTCGTGGTGGTCCTGCCGCAGTGGCTGCTACATTTCTATGATCTCTCCTCTCCAGTTGAGCCAGACATTCTGTTCTGTCTGATGTTATACGTTTCTGAAGATCTTCTCGTTACGGACCGCTGCGTGAAGCAGGAGTCTGTTTGGTGCTTCTTAAACTGGCTGTTGTAGATCACCCACCATGCATGTGTATATTGGCAGAATGACAGCCGAGAATCCCTCTGGCAATGAATATTAGCCGGCTGAACAGGAACATCGTAAACGACCTGTTGTTGTTGAATTGCTTTTCTGCTATTCCATGTACGACCAATAGTAAGACCAACCTTCATCAATTACTCGTTGCCGATGCGTTCATTAAGTTGTATTAGATTGCGATCGACTTTGTTGTAGAGATAGGTGCAATTCCCGCCTAAACACCTTCACGGTGAAAAGGTGAAGACCGTGATTGTCGACCTAGTCTATCTTTGACGAGAGCTACGTCTGATTATTATCTCTTTATTCTGTAGTTTTGCGGGGCGTTATATTTTCAGTATCTTCTAATTACCTGTTTGTCTCCGCTTTGATTGCTTTTAGGATTTCGGTGAAGTATCATTACGATTAGTTAATGTGATCAAATATCTATATGCATGAATAAGAGTAATATATTTCAGGGCTGCAAGAGATCTGTGTCTGTTCGCTTACTTGCTCATTTGTCTCTCCTATTCTCCTTCCCCTTCCCCCCACTAGGGGTTTGATTAGGCTGATTTTTAGCGATTCACTAGAGTTTCATTTTACGGGTAAGATGTAGCCAATTGGAAGAATATGTTTTCCGGTGGAGCCTGTCTGTTCGATACTATAAAGCGTAATGTAAAGTGGGACAAATTATTCGTTTTGTAGCGATGTTCGCCCTTTTTAGGTGTTTGTTTTTTGCTAAGAATCCTTTACGTGTGTCTATGAGAAAGCTGCAGAAGTCAAGATGGGTTGTATTTGAGTGGGGTTTTCGCAGAACTTTTTTCGCTACTGACAAAATGGCAGCCAAATGTTTTCATGGAGGTCTATGGAGGAGATCTATGATTATCTAGCATCATCCACATCATTCGTTCTTCCGCCGAGCTGAATCCAAATGCAAAACATGTCACTATACAAAATCTTAGTTTTCGCACTGAAAATGCTTCCCGAAGGTAAGCCTAACATGACGTTCTATGTAAGGAAGGAAGGCGCTTTTGATATCAATCTATTAGTGAAAATAGATATTTGGGCGTGAAAATAGTCAAAAATTTAAGCAGTTCGTCTCACCTACTCCTCAGTGTGTTCCGAACTACTTTGGGGCGCTTTTTTGAGGGAATATGACAAGTTTGAATTGGAATGTTGTAATGGCTGATGTTACGAACATCGGAAATATCTTTCTTATATTATCGGAATTACTACATTATATATAATATCGGAAAGATTTCTTGAGGAAAATATCGAAATATCGAAAACATTTTCTTTATGTAAGGCACCACTTTATTCACGCCAATTATTTACAACAGTTGATATATTTTGACGAGCTGAATATATGTTCTTAGGACTAAAATATGTATTTCAACGTAAGAAAGGCCAGAAGCTGAATGCGGTCGATTTTTCATTTGCGAGACACTAGCATAAATTTTCTTACATGGAAATCTATCTAGGAAAACATTTATTGGTAGCAATAAGCTCTCGATGCGAAATCAATATCAATCCAAGTGCAGTACATGTTAACATACTTAATTGGAGTCTTTGGGTCGGAAATGCCGTTCGAAGGGTGCGAACTTAACACGATCTTCTATATAAAAGGGGTTTTTTCTTGAAGTCAATTGATAGATATCCACAAGTTCAGTAAAAATATTATATGCATCCTTGTTCCTCAAATTGATATTTTTGACTAAAAACTGCAAAAACGATTAATCGTGTCAATTTATGTATGTCACAATGAGATAGAAATGTGTTTCTAGTGTTATTGAGCGGATTTTTAATAAATGTCAATTGAAGGCTACGGAAGCGTACCTGGTCAAGTTAAGCAAGGTATTTACAACGAAATAACTGTTATGTACTCGATCAATACTTTTTGTTACTTTATGCAAACGAATCAGATTAGTTAAATTTAAATAACTACAAAACAAGCGCAGGTCTGTTTGTTGCTAATAAAAGTGGTCATTTTAAATCTGATTATCTTCTGGGTGCAGTCGTGATTTTGACATCAATAGGTAAAGTATCATGAGCGTTCCGCTTTATTTGTTGTTAAAGCTAACTGGCCTACGTTTACGATACTCAGGATATGTGCATGGAAATCGAAGATATTTTTTTAGAGGCTGACGAAAAGCTTTATTCACAGTCAAGTAATCTCAGTTATCCACATGTAACCCTTTTACGTAAGACTTGGTTCTAACAGATACTTGTTACTTCTAAAAAAGAGAAGCCCTACTATACAGCTTACGTACGTTGAGAAAGCTGGCTTGTAAGAAATCATTACGACGGTCCTTACGGTATCTATTAAAGAGTTTAAATAAAAAAAAAAGAGAGGATAGTAAAATACATGTGCAACATTGGCGCAACCTTTCAAACTAAATATCTTGTTGAACACCTTCACGGTACTGTTGATAAAACACGGCGCCCAGAGATACTTTAATGCGACCATTTGATAGAAAGCTTAATATTGCTGAGCTCGCCTGACTGAGTCAATCTAGCCTACAGCATCTTAACGGGCTACCCTTGGTCAGCTATCGCGAGTAATGACCGCCACGTCGCATCTATAGCACGGCCCCGTTGGCACTTTCATTAAGTACCTCCTCTTCCCAATAGGTTCCTGGTTTACCCATATACTTTTGCAAACAGAATCGATAAGATGGTTGAATTTTACGGCCAACGCGTCTTTACGCTGCCTCAAGCGCTGACGCTACATAAATGTTCCTCACAGTGCTAATTCAAACGACAAGAAACCACTGTGCTTTGTAATTGACCTGTGTTTCATAATGGAATCAGGCTCAATGCCGGTTTAATAGTGTCTTAGCATGGGATGTATCGTACTACATTTATACGAATCTATATAGTGAAGATACTGTTACGAGTATAATTGTACCGGTCGGATCTAGCTTCTATGTACGTATGTATGGCATCTTATACGGACGGACTCCTAGAACCCCTCCCAGTATTAAGTATGTTTGTATTTATCTTTGCTAGCAATTCGAAAGATTCGGTTACCAAAACACCAAAATGGTGCTTTGGTTAGATTGTAGTGGCCGACATGTAAATAACTTGCAATCTGTCATCAGTGATGTAGTACAATATTCGTGGCCAGCGTGCTTGCCACTCCAGGTTCAACAGCGTTCGCGGGGGTCTTTTAATCGCTTCGGTGGCTGTGGTTTGCGCAGTCTGTCAGTGATCTTGGCTCACAAATAAATTGTAAATAGCCTGTTGTCTTAAGGTCAATAGTAGTAGTAGTCAATCGGCTGTCTGAAGCCTTATCAGAATATCAGTTAGATACGAAGTTTTTGTGATTGCATAAAAATAAGATTAATCAGGAGCTACTAGTGCTACGGCCAGTCTGCGCAAATAAATTATGTATCCTGTATTTTATATATATATAATTAGATAACACACCTTAAGTTTATTCGTTTTTTTATATTCATACGTCTAGTCTGCGCAAAATTTATCTTGGATTCTTGAAGCTGACAGTAGAGTAAATTTTTGTTGCATCAGACCCATAGACCAGTAGTAGACTTATTACTGAATATTTTACGG